AATTACATTGTTATATATATAATTCGTCTAAATAGATTTGTTCTTCTCTGGCCGGGATTCGAACTCATGCTACTAAGATATCGTGGCATCAAATCGCCTTGCACTATGCCCGACGCGCTAGACCACTCGACCACCTAGGCTCGACAAAAATCAAGCTTTCGGTGGGCGGGTGTTACCTTTCCTCGTCAGTTTTTATCTAGCGTCGTAACACAGTACATGATATATAAGTCATGAAGATGGAATATTACAGATCAGCTGAATTATCTATCGTAGAGGGTCTTACGAATTAATGTAGGATGCAGTGACAGAAATAATTATATTATAAGTACGTCTGAACCAGTGACAACTCTACGACATATTTCATCCATCGGATCACCAGTGATGGTGATACAAGGCTGAAAACACACTCTGTATACATAATTCGTCTAAATAACAGCCCAACAATGTGAGATCTGTAAATTTGCGGAAGCAAATTTTTTGTTCTTCCCTGGCCGGGATTCGAACTCATGCTACTAAGATATCGTGGCACCAAATCGCCTTGCACTATGCCCGACGCGCTAGACAAATCGACCACCTAGGCTCGACAAAAATCAAGCTTTCGGTGGGCGGGTGCTATCTTTCCTTTCAGTTTTTATCTAGCGTCGTAACACAGTATATATATAATTCGTCTAAATAACAGATATATATATATATATATATATATATATATACAATGAGTATGAGCAAGCATAATATTTATGAAGTTAAATATGTGCTTTATCATGTTCCTGATTTTGGGGATATTAAAAAAAAACAATTGTTTCCGTTATGTGTGAAAACAACTTCGTATGTTCGCTTATTACGAGGTCCTAAAAACTGTTGAAGGTGTGTTGTCATATGATACAATTAGCTGATGAAAATCATCAGTACTGGTGATCATGTGCAGTCAATTCATATTAAGTAAAATATGGAGATTAAGGTTATTTATCATGTATGTTATTTAAACAATATTTGCAAGAATAGTGAAAATTGACATAAGTGTGTATCTTTTATTATGTTTTTGTGCTATGTTGTTCATTCTCTGGGAAGAACTGGCTGGTGCCATTACATACAACAACTCGAAACGGACCGCACAGTAAAATATAGAACCATTCCGAAGTCAATTTATAGTACCGATCATACACTATGAGTTACACGGTGTGCTATTGACCTAATACGATATATACGGGGTCCGATAATTCCATAAGGGGCAAACGCGACCCCTTATATATAGTATTAGGACATTAGCACATTGTGTAACGAATTTATCTTACTGACTTTTTAATATCGGGAATTTTGATGTAGTTGTAAAAGATGTGATGATTATATTTCAGTTGTTGTTAAGGTAGATCGGGTGTCTTGCGCCATCTTGGATTGTAACATAGCAGGAAACAATCGGGCTAGATCTTTCATGAAATGGGCAAATTTCGACAGAAGAATGTAATTCATTTGTAAAATTTTCAACTAAATAATGTTTACCTCAGTTTCTTTCTTACAAATACAGAATAGTTTTTGTTTAATTCAAATTTTTTTCAACTTTGCCATTTTAAGGGGAGATAACTCAAAAACCTAACTTTTATAAAGGAATGTGTTATGAATTTACATATTTTATTTTCTGAAAGCATATACTCAGAGTTATCTTCTCATATTTAATATTTAAATTCTATGGTTTACCTTTCTTTTTATCACACAAAAATGCATAATCTATACAAAATTTGACAATTTTGCACAACCTGTAGCTTGAAAAAAAACCTCGTGACCCATACGTGTTATTATATTCTTGAGAAAAGCATGATGTAAACTATATTTTGACACATTATTACAAAAATCTATGGATTTAAATTTAGACACAATAGTGTTGAAAGTGGCGTTAAACACCAATCAATTAATCAATCAATAATTTGAGAACAACACCGTGGTTTTTTTTAAGGAACGTAACTTTACTACTTACTTCTGCTGACAGTGTATTTAAAATTAAATCAGCCCACTGACCTTGTATTAAATAAACACGGTTTACACGTGTTCGCTTTTAACCAATATATATTCCTAGAAGCTAATATGAAGTCAGATAATAGTTATTAAGCAGGAAGAATTACCGAGAGTTTACAGGTCCTTGTAAACAAAACGTTGACTCGGGGTTTGTATTTCAAATAAATTATTCAAGTTTTTATTTTTTTCTGAAATTTTTTTTTATCAAGTAAATTCAGTTTATAAGTGATACCCGACAATGCTAGATTCATATGGAATATTTTTGTTTATCTTACCTCCTTACCTTGTTTTTGAGGGGACAGACAATAGCTCTTTTCATACCTCCTAGATTAGCACAGACTTTGTGCCTATATGTATTATAAGGCATTGGATTTCAATGATGCAATAACCAAGAGGCTTAACTTTTAATACCAAATATGACTAGCAATCTTAAAGTACAAGTTTACTGTGAAAATCTGATAATATAAAACAAAGTTAAGTGATTGCTCTCATCAAATTACAACTCAAACTTTGTGACAAATGAGTAAAGATAGTCAAGGTTTCTGACTGCGGCAAAAAATATTCTTATGTCATGAATTGTAAATATATTGATGGATAGGAATGGCCAAATAAGACTTTTTCAGAAGCTCGTCGAATTTTATTTTAAAAAATGGGATTATCTATAAACTGTGACTGCCAAATTACCCATATTGCATTGACTAACCGGGTAATTTCACAGCGGTATAACATGCTACTTTAGTTATTCTTCCCTTAGTTTATTTATTTTGTATTTACATTGTAACATAGATCAAATTTATTTGTTCAGTGTATGTTCACTGGTGTTAATATGTCTTTTGATTGAGTTAAGCCATTTCAATTGATATTTAATAGTGTTTCTTTCTATGTTGTGATGTTACACTATTGTTTCAGATAAGGGTGAAGGTTTGGTACCATTTAAACGTTTATACCCGCTGCAATTGTTTGCACCTGTCCTAAGTCAGGAATCTGATGTTTAGTAGTTGTCGTTTGTTGATGTGGTTCATAAGTGTTTCTCGTTTCTCGTTTTTTATATAGATTAGACCGTTGGTTTTCCCGTTTGAATGGTTTTACACAAGTATTTTTTGGGCCCTTTATAGCTTGCTGTTCGGTGTGGGCCAAGGCTCCGTGTTGAAGACCGTACTTTGACCTATAATGGTTCACTTTTATAAATTTTGACTTGGATGGAGAGTTGTCTCATTGGCACTCATACCACATCTTGTTATATCTAATAAATACGCCTTCAAATTAATTATTAATACTTCTATTAAATTCCCATTTCCAAAAGAAATCTAGTTAAAAAATATACTCTTTAACTGACAAAAATGATTTCGGGGTTCATGTGTTTTACTTTCCCTTTGTAGTAAGTGACCAGAAATGACGAATATATTATTGAATTGATCATGAGATATCTGACGCCAACTTGGCTACGTTGACAGTTGTAGATTATGTGTTTAACAAATGAACACAGATGTTATATTTGTTCTGGCCACAAGATTCCATCCTCCTTTCGGTTCATTGATCCTGTGCCTACATTTTAAATTTAAGGTTTAAAAAAAAGGATAAAATATATGGTTGAATCAAACAGATCAAGTGTTATGAAGCAGTAATTAGAAGCAAATCAACTACAACCATTTTGAACATTTTAACATTTAAATGTTCTATTAGAACACATTATTTTGTCATATTCTGCGTGCAATGAAGATACTTTTGTGTGTGTAGCCGATCTAATATTAATCCAAACATAAATAAAAGAATAATGTGTCGGAGCAAACGAAAGCCTCCCGCGCAAGCTTGCTTATTATATGTGAAAATACTTTTTAAGACGGACTGAAGGACGGACGGAAAGACGGACAGAAAAACGGACGGAAGGACGGACGGTCAACGGTAACACTTAATGCTCCCTTCGGCTAGCGGTGGGACATAAAAAACAGAAACAATATTTTCTTATTTTATCCATAGGAATAATAATATCTCTATATAAATTAGCACCCGTTGTAATTTGATATATCAAATGATAGACGACGGAAGCTTAAAATGAGAATGTCAGGTAGATTTTTAAAGTAAAACCTGGAAAATGAGCTTTAAACATTTTTATCTACTATACATATATGAAGGGAATACATAAAAAATACTTAGTTTAAAAACTTCTGTTACAAAGTGAAAACATCAATGACCCAACTACACTTGTAGACTTAATTTTGTCTGTTGTGCATGTCAACAAAAATGATGCATAAACTGATGCCTGATTTATCAATTGTATAATGTTACTGTTGATAATTGTTTGTCCTCACTATAGTTTTTCATGTGACATTATTTCATTTAAATATAAAAAATAAAACAAGCCTCAGTTTATGAGACTATGGAATGAAAGATCGACATATAGTTTTATCATTATTTATATTTATATGATCACATAATTATTTTTTAAATTAAATGTTGGCATAGGTTGATTAAACCCTCCTTTTGTCGTTTATGCATTATTGGAGTTTTACTTGTCACTAGCAAACTAAAGGCGCTATATGGAGTAGTTAATGCCTACCGTACATTGTTTCCTTGTTAGATAATCATGGACTGCTGTTTTCCCCGTTCTCGTTTATTTTACCATGGTGTTTTGATTAATTTATTTTGTATTTATGATGTTTTAATGCCCCTTTATATCAGATTATACATTTGAAAAGGAAATACATTCAACCTATTTGTTCTATGCTTTTGCATAGACGCTTATTTAGGAATGGGCTGGAAGAAAAATAAAAGGTATTTGTAAAATCCTCATATTTAAACATTAACATGCCAAAATAGAGGAATCAGTAATACATATTTAATAAAGAAAAATCGTTGTAATATTCTTCAATTCCATATAAAGAATATAAGATCAAAGCTGTTAACCTCCATATTGTCAATCTTTCTTCGACGTTAGTTTTGACGTGCTTTATGGTCCCAATGTAAAATTTGTCACATAATTAAAAAAAGCTTACCTCTTGTTGTTTTTTCTTGAGTGGAAGCTGGTGAAGCTATCAATATAAATATATGTTTATCAGTTCTAAGAAGACAGTTACCTTTTGACAATCTAGTGTTCGCATCAATATATATAATCTAGACTACCTATTCTTAAAATTGTTTTAAAAATTACTAAATTTTTATTAATAATAAAACGTTAAGTAAAAAGTATTTTCCTTCCATTTTTTAACCTTGCAGACATAGCTTTGAAATCTTTATATTTACACAAAAACAATATTTCTATATTGAAAGTTTCGGTGACAATGAACAAACAGGTGAACATAAAACTTAATACTAGTAGTTGAAAATAGATTTCGAGAATGTGTATCATGCTCAAGAAATTGAGGACACTCTGAAAATCAAAAGATTTAGTATGTTCATGATTTCCACATTTTTGCATCAATATTTACCAAAGATAAACATTTTTTATAAATATCTATATAACGAGGTTCACATGCAATTATCTCGATAAAGTTTTTAATTATGACAATTTGCTTACGCATGTTTATTTCAAATAAAAGAGTATAGATTTTTGTCGTTTTACTTTTTGCCATGATGTTGTCAGTTCTCTTTCATTTATGAAATTCAAATGTTCATTTGGTATCTTCCGCATTATTTTTTTTCTGTGAATTCATTGCGTTTTGCATTTAAGGCATCATATCGATTCTCATATTTGCAGTTCGAACGCATGCTGAAATGTTTCAGTAACTCTATTTACTGAAAATGAAATATCAAACACAAATATGGTACATTTTTATATTTATCACCATTTCAATCATTTCGAAAATGCATTCAATTACTGTAATCATTCTTTGTACACATATATTCTACCACACCACCCCATTGATTATCTTATTTATTCACTCCAGATAGTTAAACTTTAAAATCCGAAGTTTACCGCACATTTTTTAATGTTCAAATTTAACTATCGATCGTGAATAATTTTTGTTATCATCGGGGTAAATTGTAGAATCTGTCAATCTAATGATGTGATGGCAAATGCCGAGTCGTTGTTTCAAAGAAATTTGACTAGCAATTATGCGAGATGAGTTAATTAATGTGTGGTTTATCTAAATTTATCTAACTGGTCATTACAGGTTTAAATGGATAACGTATTATCTATAATAATTTTACTTGTTCCTATAACAATGTTATTTTTTCGTGTGTTATATCATAAACATTAGAGCTTAGTGTGTTTATAATTGACCTTGACTCTCCGATCTTCTATGTGCATTGTGCCATTATATTAATGAAGATAAAACGATAATGAAAGAAATGTGTTCTTGAATATCTGATAAATCCCTGTCACGTGTTAAAGCACCAGCCCAAATTAAAGGAAACACTAGTTTACCAATATTCAAATTTTGTAAATCCTTAAGGAATATACAAATCATGATTAAAAAAACATGATGGAATCGCATAAACTTAAGAGAGGGACTTTCTAAACACGGTTCACCAATAAGATTTTTAAAAAAACACACAACCTGAGGCATTTTTTCCAAGCGAAGCCAGACCAAGTGCGTTATGAACCTAGTCAATGGTTGTCTATGTATATGAATAGAGGTTTTTGTATACAATAGAATACAGTATGCAGGACTCTTGTAGTCTTAATAATTATATTGACTTTTAAGGGCTTAACATATATTATAGACATTTGTCTCTTTTAAAGAATGTATATTGTCCCATAGACGTTTATTTTGATTTTATCATATGTTCCAATTTTCAAACTAATTGATGTACACCTATCATCTCTTTTACAAATGTAATGCAATAGTGAATGAAGACTTCGAAAATTCAATGTAAAGGTATAAAAAGATATAACTAAGACGATGTATGTTGGCTTATTGTAAAATTGTGATTTCAGATGGAAAAAAATATTGTTTTTTTTAAGGTGAATGAATATTATGATACATATGTGCTAGTATTGTTTTGTTTGGACATTAAGCCAGCAATAAAAAAATATTAATAATCAGACAAAATCTGAAACAACCGTTTCAATTTACCTATTAACGTAGGAATATATAACTTAACTGTGTAATTCACCAACAATGTAAACATAATTATTATCGAACAAAACCATAGTGTCGTTGCATGTCAAGTTTTCTCGTATTTCTTTTAACTAAACAATAAATGTAATGACAACCAGAATGCTTATTTTCATTTAAGTTTACACAAATTTTCCACTAGTTACATGGGTTTAATAAAAATAATATACATAGAATGTACCCTCAGTTGTAAACAGTTGTACATGGCTGTTATTTGTAGGCACTTTCTATTTTATGATCTACAATTTTGTATAAACATTCTAAATTATTGGTCATTGCCGTACCGGATAAAGGTTAATACATAAACAAATGTTGTACCAATAGCATATATTTTAAGTATCATATACCGACTTTGAAAAAGTTGTAGACACTGCAATTTGTGGTATTTCCTTGTAACAGGATCAAATGGAGTGGTCGCTTTACTGACCTTATTCCCGACGAAGGAGTAAATAAAGATGTGTATCGCAACGGAACATGCTGCATTCTTTATAATAAGCATTTTATTTACATAGCTTGTCAGATGACAAATTGAATAACATAATCAGAAGAGTAGTTACTGTTATTCTAGTTTTGTAGGATTATTTTAACTGGTATCATCTTACTTGTACTTAATATTGTTGAAGCTGATGTAGAACATAACATCTCGTCCTCGTTATCACCACAGTCATCTTTACCATCACACAGCTGTTCACGTTCTATACATTTTAACGTCGCACTACATTCAAATTCACATAAACTTTCTCCTACAATATCATAATATTATACATGTACATTTACAATTTTAAAAAGGTTCCTTGTGAAGTGCATTTTTAGGTAATGACACTAGAAAATATAAACAAAACGGCTTTAATCAACGGAACTATAGTATCATTTTCTTTTATAACGTTACAGATATTGCTAAATGATGAAATGACAATATGTGCGATGGAGAAATTAACATGTTTCTCAATAAATACCTCACTGTTTACTTGTTTGTAACATTTATTTTTGACTTCAAGAGATGGAATTTTCAAATTCATTGACATTAATAGATATGTTATCGTTAAATACACAGTACATTTTTGAACTAATTGGATTTAATAATTATAGTTTTATTTACCTACCATAATAACATGATCATCATATCCATTAGTGCTTGCATTTAAATTCAACAGTACAATTTCCCTTTTTCATAATATTTAATATGCATATTATCTTTAAGTATATGGAACTTCATTCTTCATGTTCATTTACATTTATCTTTAACCTTAAAGATTTTGTTGTTAATTGTTTTTGAAAAATATACACCAATAGCTGTAATTTCTTAACATTTATGACTTGCTATTTTCATAAAAGAAGTACTTGCTGATGTTATATTCACACTACTATTAATTCTATTTCAAAACACATTAGATATCAATATTTATAATACATCTACCAACAATGTAAACCATCAACTACTACATCCCAAGTAATCTACTTCTAGTTAATCTACTTTTCTAAATCGCATGTATGGCAACAGAAACATTCAAATTAACCTTTCCCATCTGTACTATACATTGCTGTCATAGGGACATGAATATTTTATGTATACTTTACTTCCATTAAATTGGTATGAATGTATATTTTTGTCTCTTTGATGTTTACATAAAATTGTAGACTAAAATTCAGAATACAAAGTTGATGATGACAAACTAGCATGCAATACAAAGCATAAATTCTAATACTCCTTATCAAATAAGTAATACCAAAGGTTTATTTTTCAAAAGGTTAACTACAAGCTATCTATCCCACAATTTGTCATTTCAATTCCTGCAAACATTTAAAATACATTGATTTATATATATTTTATAAATGAAACAACACAATATATAGCAGATAAATACAAAAACAAAACTTAAACATTACCAAATCCAGAGCCTTACCAAATGGTAATGTGTTTCGTTCTTAAATTTATCTAGCTGATGATGAAAAACATTATAAACTGCATACTTATCTATGATTCATGTAATAGTAAGAAAAAATAACATCCCCATGGAATATTATACTGCCAGAGCCTCACAAGATTTTTTTGAAATCGTTAAATTTAAATGGAAATGTTATTTTTTCTTTCATTACTTGTGGAAGCAGCAGAAGTACTTTTCCAGTACATAATCACAAGAACATATAATGTGTACATAATTTGAGAGCTTTGTTTTGGTGTGATAAATATAAGACACATACCAGTAGTTACTTCTGGTGTTGTAACTGCCGTTGTAACTGGAGGAGTAGGAGTAGGCGGGCTTGTCTCTGTAAAAGATAATAGTGATTTCTTGATATTTAAGCTTGTTGCTCATCATAATTCAAAAATCGAGCTAACTTTAACACTTTTGTTGCGTTTGCTAACAAGATGAATCTGAACTGAGCACAAATCACAGAAGAAATTCAAAAATAGTGTGACTGACATTTGACTTATAATTTTAATTATATCTGAAGAATGCAAAGTATTTGATAGCATTTTCAGACAATCTGTATGGAGGGCCATTTGCCATAATCTAGCACCGTTTATCGCTGAACGATGGAACATTGTAAACACAGGGCCCCTGTGTGTACTGTCCTGGGTTATACAAGGTAAATTATATTCAGGTGTTTTTCAATAAATTTATTTCAAGTCTTAAAAAAAAAAATAATCTAGCATGATTAACAAAACCAATATATAATGCTATAATTTGATGAGTTATCTGTATATTCATTTTATTTTTGTGAATAAGATTCCAATATAATTAATTGCGAAGAATGTTTCAATAACATTGCAAACTTGTATAGTATATTTGTTATTATATAGATTGGTTGATTGTTGGTGATTAACGCCACCTTTAGCACATGAAGATTGGAATAAAAAGTTATTTTCCATTCATGATGATTGTTCTGTTTTCATATATTTAATCGTAAAGTATCAGTATTCCTGTAAATCATAATTCATGATTGTTTGTTTAGCATAAGCACAATGTATGATATATAATAATTTCTCAATAAGAATTAATAACTTGTGATGAACATTTAATTATTTTTGAACGATCTCTTTCTTTTGAATCATTGAGATAGATGGCCGATGGTGAAAAATTGTTTTTCCTATCACACTTTGATACAATATTAACGATTCTGTAGTTACAAAAATAAACGAAGTGGAAACAAAATATTAAATCTAAATTTTACAATACTCTCCTATTCGATACACCAAGACTTTTTATAAATCATTATCCACTAACAGATACATTTTACAAATGTTTTCTTGAAAGTTTCTAGCGATATTTATTGCAGTACATATCCAAGAATTCAAATATGAAAAAAGATATTCAACCAGTGACCGAGCAACACATTAATTCGAGAATAATTTGTTATTAAAAATGTTGTTCTGTCACGATTTGAATATTTCTCGATATGTGAATTAGTGATTCTTCTTATTACATTGACCACTGAAATGTTAATGGAAATAAAGAAGAAAATGCAAAAAAACTTTATATCTATTTATACGTATTCTCAATTTATTTTATGCAACGTCCACAGCAATGTCTTGACAATTAAAATTATGTCACATGCGAAATTACTAGTATTGGTTTTTATTTTACTGGGAAATCACAGTATATATTGCAACCAATGTAATACTTAAAGTTATCAATAATAAAATGGATTATTATAAGTGCTAAAACACACCACAATCCTCTTCGTCATCACAGCTGTCAGAACAATCGCATACACCATCACATTTCTTACTGTCCAATATACATTCACCGTTTTCACAAGTATATTCAGATGTTGTATCGCAAGGCGAAGGTGTGGTTACAACTGAAGGAGTAGTAGTAGGAGGCGGTGAAGTAGTCGTTGCTGTAGTTGTCGTCACTGGAGGAGGAGTAGTAGTCACTGTAAGAAAATATGTCCTTCGTTGTACGTCTAATTATTAATTAAACACTAGCAGGAGAATGTTTATATCATAAGAAGGAAAGTGGAATATCATCGGAGTTCATAAACTGAGCGTCAAATACCACCAGTGGTACTATAAATATAGAAACACTTACTCATGGATTAATAAAAGCGACTAACGTTAGTTATTTCAAGACTTCATAAAACTTTACACAAAAACATCAAATAATGTGTGAAATAAGGCACAATATGAATGAAGTGTTTACTTTTCTGAATTTTCAACCAATAAAATATTTTTTTTAAGTTTGCAGTAGTTCAAATATTTTTTGTACAAGGTTAGGAGTATTACTGTCAAATACAGATACATTTCATGTGTGTTTTTTTTTTTTTTTTTTGATAATGCCAATTGACGCATGCATGTTAATATAAAGAAATTGATTACTTAATTCATGTTCCTTAATATTTAATTTCATGTAACATTTAAGTTTGCAGCAACGTTTTTGATATTATAACACTATATTGAGGAAACTTTTATTGGGTAGAAGAAGATAATATAAGGACCTTGAAGACAACCGTAATCTTTCTCATCTCTGCAATCATCCTCACAATCGCATATTCCATTGCAAATGTTCTCTTTCCTATCGCAGGTAGGCATTGTGGTCGTAATTGGAGTAGTCGCTGAAATTGTAATTCCACATGCTTAGGATTTAAAATTTCGTCTAACAGTGGTTTGATGATAGTATAGATGGTTATTTAAGCAGATTTTACTCTTCTGAATTGATTCAATGATACGTCTTTTTCATCTTGATATTATTCTAAATAAAGTTGGTAAAGGACAATGGATGATTCGAAACATGAATCTACAAGGGATTTTCTTTTGTATTTGGCGGCTCATAATTGGCTCTTCTAAATATTAGTTAACAAAGAAGTTTTCTAAATATTCTATCAACAAACAATATTATAGTTATTTAAAAACAATATGTTCATAGTCCAAACATAATCATGACCAACAGAACGCAATAAAATAACTTAAACAACAAATAAAACGAGTTTCGAATATCTATTTTTTTTAAATTAATTGAATCGAGATTTTTGCAAGAAAACTTGACTATGAAGCAGAAATTGGACGAGAAATCCTCGATACAATTTTGAAACATAACACTCTTGGGATGATTCAAACCTCCATTGGTTAAACATTTCCTATTTTTATAAGTGTATATATGTGGTCGTCGATACGTAAAGGTTATGTACGGGGATGGCGGCCGCAATTGAAACCTGATGGGGAAATAGGTTATACGTGTGGAAATGAATTATGTAATTATATAAGCATTAATACTTGAAAATTGTATGGGCTTGAAAAACGAGTTGTCGTCAACAGGACTTCTAGATTCATTCTACAACCCTAGACGCTCAACAGGAATTGTATTTGATTTTTACATGTTATTGAAAAGTAAAAGCGAAAATGTACGCAATCGAAACACGGCAAATAAACGACCAAATTTAATTTTTTATCAAGATGTTTATCTTTTCTTAACTTAAGCAGATAATTAAGATTTTTAGTATTAGTAATTGTGTCAAACTGCACCTTTTTTTACTTTCTCATTGAAGTGTTGTATATGTTTTTTAATTATATACATATGTCGTGATCAATTATTTTGACTAATACATACTAACGGCAGATGTATTCTAACATTGATATCTTTATTTCATTTGATTATTTTTATCTATATTCACAATGAAAACAGAAAAGACAAAAGATATAAGTATTAGTCTTGATCATTTTGCAATTAAATGATCATGTAAAGGAAATTTTTATAAGGAATTATCTTGAATCAGCAATCTTATTAAATCAATACAATATTTTTCTTACATGTTTATTGTTTATTTAGAATTTTCAATAGAATACAAAACCTAGTTAGATTTTAAAATCAAAACTAAAAACAGCCATCATGCAATAGTAATTAATTTGTCTAGCTTTATCTCATTTGTTGATTTTACACAATTGAAGTAAACGAATATATATTGACACCAAAAGCATCGATATTCTCTACTTAAGACATTTCTTTAATACATTTAAAAATAAAATACAAATTTTAAACAAACAATTGTTTAAATACACAAAAAGCACAATCTCAAACTTCTCAACGTTTCCTTTCAATAGTTAATTTCACTCAAATCTTAACACGTTTAAAAAACAATTTTATTTTAGATCTGATGTTACCCTGAACTTTCACTTTGAATTCCAAATATATAATATCAAAGTACTATAACTATTTAAGAAAACATTAACACATGAACAAACATAAATGTTAAATATAAAGTTTTATAAAAAAAAAAAAATATGTCGTGTAAATATAAACAAATATAAAAATACAAAATATATCACTATACATGTAAAAAAGTATGATAATAATAAATTCATATCAAAGAATCAGATTTCGATGTGAGTGTTGTAGTTACCTACCAGAACATGAAAATGCATGTAAATAGTTTTTTAATAATTAATTGAATTCATTTGTATTAATTTGTAACATTAATATATTTCCTTAAATATTAGTACAAGTGGACTTGTTGAATATGTGGTGCAATTTTTTTTAAATTAGTACAAGTATTTTATGAGGTTATGTGATAATAAAACAAAAAATGTCAATCTTCACATATGATTATTGATAGCATACCTGATGTTGGGACAGATGGAGTTGCAGATGATGTAATGAACACTGGTGTTGTTGATGTTGTAGGTGGAACAGTAGTTGTTCCTAAAAAAAATAGCAATTTATTCATTTTAAATATAATGCTAGTATATAATGACAGGACAGTGGTTTATATATTATAGTGTTAGTAATGGGTGTTTTTATATTGGTCCTGTATTATCTTCAAGTACAGTCGTTTTTTGTCGGTCGAGTTAAACTGTATTGGCTCGAGGCGTGGCCGCATGTCGAGTTAAGCTGTATTGGCTCGAGGCGTGGCCGCGGGTTAATCTTGCTGAACAACATTCAATACGACTGTACGATGACATAATACAGGAGCAATATAAAAACTCACATTTCATGACATCTTATTCAACAATGACTTACAAATGCCTTTAAAAGCTGACCGATATCCAATACGACTGTAGGAAAACAGAATCAATAAGAAAACAACAATTTTAGGACACCTAAAACATACATTTTAAACCAGAAAATATTTCTTAGACGTTAAAGTTTTGAAAATCTGTATACTAGTAACTACAGTTAGATATGTGCTGCATTAACAGTTATAATCAATTGTTCGAAAGACCCTTCTACTGTCAGTTTGGTATAATAAAACAAGCTTGTCCCTGTAGAAGCCATGCATTTCCAAAATTGTCAACCCTAAAAATTTTTTGCTTTGGGATACAGTCTCTGAGAAATAACCTTTTAGGGTTGACAAGATTGGATAGTCTACCTTTCTACGAACCTTTCTACAAGCCATTTTCGTAAATAGTCGAAGACAATTTATTTTATCAAATATGAAAAATAACAGATATAACATCAAACTTGTTGAAAATCTAACATTTTTGAGTAATACACTTCTAACTGGAAATTCAAATTCTGTATTAGACCTGTATTAATGACCAGTTCTTAGACAATTGGTATTGTAATAAATGGACAATTTGTAATGTATTTTAAGTCATTGGTTGAATTACACTACAACAATTAACAGTGTGACATATGGATGGAAACCATATCCTAGCTATGTCGAAGACCAATGTTTCAAATTTGACTCTAACCCAAAATTAATAATAATCAATTATTTGTTCACCAGGTTTATCGTATAATACATTTTTTTAGTTGCAAGAATATATTGAACCGTCTGTGACGTAGGCTTTATACTTATATTAGGCCATAGAAGCAATCAAGTATATCAGTTTCCTTTCAATTCGAATTTAGCATGCAAAAAACTGATACCGAGGAACCCTTGATATATTGAGAAATTGAATCTGTTTTAATATTTGTAGAATGATCTTAATAGAATGTGGACCGATAGGCAATAAAAAAATATACCACTAAAGCAAACCAAAAACAAATCACTTAAAACTGCTTACTTTCGTTTAAGAATATAAAGTTAAACTTCTGAATTAAATTACCTTCATAACAAACTTCGATTTGAAGATTGCTTATAACTGGAATCAGATCGCCACTAGGGACGAATATTAATTTGAATGTACTGTTGTCTACTCCTTCGGGAAATTTAAATGATACCAATGACGTGTTGGCTTCTTGTGGCTGAAATAAAGTTTCAAGCAAATGTGATATCCAATTAAACTTCTCGTGAAATGAAATGAAAAGAAATTAATATTTCTAGAAGTGTTTTGTCAGATTTGTTAGTATATTTCTAAGATATTTGTTTATATGATAGCATTAAAAACATTGTAAGTACTTTATCTTTTCTCTACGTATTTGTTTCCGTACAATATCGCATATAGTGCTACAGAATACAACTACCACATCCTACTTGTTCCTTGAAGTACAAAATATATGTTCAAATGACCAATTATAGCAGAACTGGAACAAATTTTACCTTTGAATATCCTTCTACCTCTAGAGTCACAGATTCTACGTTTTTTACGTTAACTTCCACAGACATAAATGTTACAGGAACATTACTAGTGAATATTATGTAGGGAGATTCATCTGATGATAGAGGTGACCATGAAGTTGTTGGTACGCCTGTTTTTTGCAAAATGTCTACAATGTCTTTTCCAGGTGCAGTTGACGATGGTACTATTGAAAAATCGTCGCTAGAAGTTGTTTTGAAAGGCTGTTCATCACATCCTGAAACCAATTTCATTTTGATATATAAGAAAATAGGATATTTGTACAAAAATATTAGATACATTCCTAGGTGTATTGGACCGTGAGTAATCTTGTTGAGGTTATTTTTTATTTTGAACTTCAAATAACCATTACAAAAGGGAGTGAAGATAACATTAAACTGGTTTTTTTAACATATAATCTTTTAATATCACATATTAATGAGTAAAGTAATATATTAGAACCTTTTTGTAATGTTTTATATCTATTCCGAGTTTTTTTTCACAATGGAAAGTGTTTCACTTAAAACATGAACAATATCACTCTATCAAACATGTAAGAAGAGCAGACATGTAGAAATAGTTTGAAGAGAAACTAGTTTATTTTAATGTGACCTTATGACTTCAACGTTTTTCATAAAAAATTGTGTATCTGTTGTATAGCTCATCAAATTTGCATTTTTTGTTATTGTGATGTATGCTTTTAAACACAAGAACAAATCAACAATATACATTCATTAAACACAACTTATTACATACTTGATGTTGTTGTTTGTGGTACTGTTGTTGGTAGTTCGGTTACTTCTGTAAATAAACAATATAGAATCGTAATCATTTTGATATTCATGTAGTAAAATATCAGAAATTAGTCAAGATATAATTACTGTGAAAAAAAAGCCAAAAAGATATTGTTATATCGTCAAATGGCTATACCTTGTTCAAAACTGTGAATCGTATAGATAACATTTTTCAACTTCTAATTAACAACTTATTCATTAAACATTAATTGACAATTTAAGTTAGACTTCAATCATTCGGCATCGAACAAATGAAAACCTATAAAAATACATCCAGATTGACTTACGCTCCTTTGGAGCTCAATCAATTCTCTCGGTTCTTGCTTGTTACCTTGATTTAAAATTGAGAATGGAAATGGGGAATGTGTCAAAGAGACAACAACCCAACCATAGAGCAGACAACAGCCGAAGGCCACCAATGGGTCTTTAATGCAGCGAGAAACTCCCGCACCCGGAGGCGTCCTTCAGCTGGCCCCTAAACAAATATGTATACTAGTTCAGTGATAATGGACGTCATACTAAACTCCAAATTATACACAAGAAACTAAAATTAAAAATGATACAAGACTAACAAAGGCCAGAGGCTCCTGACTTGGGACAGGCACAAACATGCGGTGGGGTTACACATGTTTTTTGAGATCTCAACCCTCCCCCTATACCTCTAGCCAATGTAGAAAAAACAAACGTACAACAGTACGCACAGTAAAACTCAGTTTAAGAGAAGTCCGAATCCGATGTCAGAATAGGAAACAAAAGAAAATAAACAAAATGACAATAATACATAAATAACAACAGACTACTAGCAGTTACTGACATGCCAGCTCCAGACCTCAATTAAACTGATTGAAAGATTATGTCTTCATTATATGAATATCTCTAAATGCTTTTGATTCAGAATTTGTCTATTCCTAACAAATTTAAGAAATTTGAAAATCGGTTTACTATGGTCGCCTTAATTAACGGTCTTCATACGAGTCCGCTTCCTATATGTCTAGCTGTTAATTCAATGCTACTCTCGCGGAAATTTTCAAAACAGTTCAAGAAGAGAGTCGAAAGATACCAAAGGGACATTCAAATTCATAAGTCGAAAACAGACTGACAACGCCATGGTTAAAACAGAAAAAGACCAATAGACAAACAACAGTACAAAAACACAACATAGAAACTAAAGACTGCATTTAAAGAACTGAAATGTTTACTGCAAGACCTGCTGCATGTTTGCAGCAAACAAAACGACTGCCGGAAAACAGAAAATAGTGTTTGCAGATGTTTGCAACTAGCTGCAATCTTCCCGTAAACATTGCAGCTTTCTGCTGCAAGCTTGTGGCAAGTTTGTAGAAACACCAATGCAGTAAGATTGAAAGAGAGTTAAGATAATAAAGAATGTTTGCCGCAAGATTGCAGAATCTTTGACTATTCTAAATGTTTGCAAGAACATTGCAAAAATTACACAACATTGACTTGGAATGCCTAGTTCTGACTTCCTGGAAGTTAACAATTTGCAATTTTGGGCTAGGTCATGTTAATTTTGTTTGAGAAATGTTATATGTAACAGATCAAAGAGGCATTTTGGTTCAATAATTCAATAATTTAGTATATTCAATATGTAATTTTGTAAGTACAAATTATTCATAGAACTGTAGATTTAATAAAACAATTAATGTCACTATCATACACAATCAAATTAACAATTATGCTTGAAATACTTTATTATAAGTTTGGATTTTGTAACTGATTAAATATATACTGTTTTAATGAAGTTCATTTCAGTTCTGTAAAGAAATTATTACCTAGCTTTATATGCTCAATACACATTTGAGATATATCCTTTTTTATTTTTGAATATATATAATTACAATTGACCACCCCCCCCTCCCCGAATTCAAATAAAATACATGTATGTATTTCCTTAAATATATTGACTAAATCTCAGATAAGTTTTCAAGTATACTTTCAATGGCTGTGTGTATATGTGAAATATAAAAATAAGAAGATGTGGTATGATTGCCAATGAGACAACTCTCCACAAGAGACCAAATGACATAGAAATTAACAACTATAGGTCACCGGTCGGCCTTCAACAATGAGTAAAACCCATACCGCATAGTCAGCTATAAAAGACCCCGAAATGACAAATGTAAAACAATTCAAACAAGAAAACGAATGGCCTGATTTATGTACAACATAGTGAAAGAAAAAATATATCATATACAGCAACAAACAACAACCACTGAATTACAGGCTGACATGGGACAGGCACATACAGGAAGTTCTTTTTTTGAGAATTTTGGTGTGTAATTTGAAAGAGGTAAATTGAATGTGTCTACACACATGACATTGGTATATGTGTAGTTCTTTCAAGTTTGCTGGAAACACGCAGCAGAAAATAACTTGTATTAAAAAGTTTGCAGCAAACAATTGCGGCAAGTTTGCAGCTAATCTAATTTGCATAACTATGTTTGCCACTAGCTTACTGCAAGCTTTATTTGCATGGTAAAATGGTTTGCTGCTATTTTGCTGCATACGTTTGCCACAAGGCTTTTTGTCGGTAAAGGTGAGCAACACGAACGAACCTTTCCAAAAAATGGGGGGATATCAGGTGCTCCGGGAGGGTAAGTAGATCTTGCTCCACATGTGGCAGCCGTCGAGTTTCTTATATTAGTACAGACCTAGTGATAAGTCTAATTCGGTAGGTCACATTCGGGGGAAAGGGGACGGGATTGTAGATACTTGGAACATATCAGTTGTCATTTGATGAAACAGATATTCTATAACGGTCAACCAACTCATAATGACTTCCGTAAAATTTACGAAGGGATGATTTTAACTTCACCACTTGGAACTCTTGGTTTAATAGCTTCATTGTGAGCAGCAACCATCTATCAAGGAAATCAAATACACAATAACCTTATCACTGAAATGTTATATACTAACGTTAACGAGGCCCGGATAAGGTACCGGTACTTTATGTATCTCTAAGAAATGTAAATTTCAAATAAAATTATATACCACTAAAAAAAAGGAAATCATAATAAGAAATACAAGCCCTGGAATATCGTATCAGCTCATTTTTTAGCTCACCTGGCCTTTAAGGCCAAGTGAGCTTTTCTCATCACTTGGCGTCTGTCGTCCGTCGTCGTTAACTTTTACAAATCTTCTCCTCTGAAACTGCGGGCCAAATTTAGCCAAACTTGGCCAAAATCATTATTAGGGTATCTAGTTTAAAACATGTGCCCGATCACCCCGCCTGCAAACCAACATGGCCGACATAGCTAAAATAGAACATAGGGGTAAAATGCAGTTTTTGGCTTATATCTCTGAAACAAAAGCATTTAGAGCAAAACTGACATTGGGTTAAAATGTTCATCAGGGTAAAAATGTTCATCAGGATAAAAATGTTCATCAGGATTAGATCTATCTGCCCTGATATTTTCAGACGAATCAGACAACCCGTTGTTGTGTTGCTACCCCTGAATTGGTAATTTCAAGGAAATTTTGCAGTTTTTGGTTATTATCTCAAATATTATAATAGGTAGAGATAAACTGTAAACAGCAATAATGTTCAGCAAAAGTACGATCTACAAATAGGTTAATATGACCAAAATTGTCAATTGACCCCTTAAGGAGTAATTGCTCTTTATAGTCAATTTTTCGTAAATTTTTGTAATCTTTTACAAAAATCTTCTCCACTTATTCTACTGGGCCAAATAGGATTAAACATAGCCACAATTTTTAATAGGGTATCGTGATTGAAAAATGTATTCGATGACCCTGTGATCCAACCAACATGGCCGCCATGGCTAAAAATAGAACATAGGGGTTTGCTATAGAAGTCTAAGGGAAAATTGTAAAAAAACAATTTCAAATGGTCACAACTTGAAAACTAATTTAAATATTCCTAAGGGGCCTTCAGTAACTATTGTAAGACTAAAATAGGATGACCTGCTTTTAATTTGACTACTGGGCCAAATTAAAACAAACTTGGCCTCAATCTTTATTAGGGTATCTAATACTATTTATTATGATTTTAACCTTATTTTACATGATTTCCAAAAACACAGTAGATACAGGTGAGCGACACAGGCTCTTGAGAGCCTCTAGTTTTATAATATCGCCGAAAAAAACAAGATACTGCATTCTAAATGAACGGCTACAGATGAAAAAAGAAATAGTTTATTGAATATCATTTGTAAAAACTATAGTTATTACTGTTCTTTTCAACAAGTATTTACCTGTATGGATTGGCTTTGGATTTCAAAATTAGATAATAGAGTAATTTGGTTGAATCCATTTATGTTATTAAAGAAGGTATTTTATAGCTTTTCAAATTTCTGTTTCATGTACTTAAACCAGTACGCACTCAAATGGTACATAATTCATTAAGAAGAGAGTCTGAAAACTCAGAATACACTGTGGATTTTACGATATATAATACCTGGTAAATGATACAAATGTTTTATATCATAAGTGGTTTGGGACACTGAAAAATTATGTTATAGGCCAATTATGATCTACATCAAAGAAGGCTTTCATTGGAACTATGTTACGAACAATTCTGTCCTAGCCTCAACCATTAATATTTTGTTCGCAAACCTCAATGTTTCAAATTGATTTTATGCGACAATCCAATAATTCATGTTTTGAAAAATACAAACCAGTAGGTAGGGTTTGCGGCACTGTTGTGGGTAATGCACTGGTAGTTGGTGGTTTTTCTGTCGGTGAAGTGACCGGCGTACTTGGAGGTAATGATGTAGTTGAAACCACTGGCACAGTTGTCAATTTTGCTTTTAATGAGAAAAAAAAGATATTAACCATCTTCGTTCTATGGTAGATACAATACATATTTGTCAAACATCAAGATAAATTTGTATAATGATTAATCTTTAAAAATATCTTTCCCTTCGCCTCATTCTATTGCGTTTACATGTCTCAAATGATACGTTACGCTCGTGCATGTGAACACAATACGTACTTAATTGGCAGGGCCGTACTCCTGGCTCAAAAACTCGCCTAATAAATTTATAAGGAAAAACCACTGAAATCGATCCTACATCAGTTTTACGGTCATCATCACCAATTGGGTTACCGATACGATATGTATGTGTTTTAGCGCTCACTAGCGACATGTTTTCACAGTCTTAGACCTTTACATACCATTTTATGTTATTTTGGGAGAAAATAACCAGTAAGATCTACCAATTTCTACATAAGGAAATGCCTGTACCATGTCAGGAATATGACAATTGATTTCCATTCGTTTGATTTGTTTAAGCTTTTGATTTTCCCATTTGATAAGGGACTTTCCGTTTTGAATTTTCCATGGAGTTTTTGATATTTTACTTTTTACACATTAGTCTAATCTTACCACAAGTAGAAACTTCTACACTGTCTAAACTAATTCTATTGCTGGAAGGTTCTTTTGTGATTGTTATTCTTATAGTATTATAGGACTGCAATTCCAATGGGATTTCTTCACCCGGCTGAACATTCGGGGCCTGAAATATTGTTTTGCAAAAGACGTGACAAATTCAAATTGTTTTTACCAACCAAGACAAAAAACTTAAACTTCTTCTTATAGAAAGAAACTATTATGTTTTGCATTTTTACATCTAAACAAAAAGCACTTATGAATTTATTACATTTCAAAGTACTTTTTTGCATTTGTCTGTTGTTTCCGTATTGTGCTTAAATACTTACTTGATATCAATAGTAATAATCATTGCATGCACTGTTCTAGCATATTGAAGTCGATATAACAAATAGAACTGTGAGCTATTTCTCACTAATGAATCCCCCACTTTAAGTATATTTCAGGAAGTTATTATTTATAGATCCCTAGTTAAAAGCGACGATAATTTTATTTCTGACCATTATGTTTTAAACATACAAGTATTCCGTAAACAGGAAGTTTATGAACGATGAATCTGAAACCGTGTCACACGGTAACGCATGTTCACATGAAGCCTGATACAAAATTCTGGAAGATCGGATTTGCAGTCTGAAAATTTAACGAATATTTCATGGGACAGAGAGACATACGGACACACTCACGGGGGTAAAACAATATCCTTCGATGCGGGGGAAGAATATTTCACAAATATATATTTTAGAAGGTTTACCAATGGCAAAGTGTAATCGTTTTAAGGATGGTGTAATAGATAAAAACACACAGTATAAGAAATACATTAGGATATAATGTTTACGGAAAATAATGTATCTCTCCTCCTACATTACATCGAGTAATACTGTCGTCAATTAGACTTCTAATGTAAACATTCCATATAAAAATAAGGAGATGTGGTATGATTCCCAATGTGACAACCTATACCAAAGGTCAATTGACAAAGATTTAAGCGATTTAAGGTCACTATTCGGCTTCACACATTGAGAAAAACATACGTATAGTCAGCTATAAAAAGCCTCGACATGAAAACTGTGCAACAATTCCAACAAAAAAACTAACTACCTAATTTATATATACATCACGTACGTTATATATCAGTAATTAATTTTATTTTATTTGAAGCTAGGGTGAATATTTCAATCTATTTACCTGAACAGTTTTTAATTCTGGATTATCTGGAAGATTATACTTCACAGTAATAGTAGCAATCCCATCCCCAGAAACTGTTACACCATTCACTTGATCTTGTAAACCAGTTATCAGCAGAACAATAATATTATCATTTATCTCAACAAACTTGTTATCGTTTTTCACTCGGAGTGCATCTTTGTCGCTTGCTGACAATGGTGACTCCTCGTTGTTTGACGCAATGTTAGAATCGTCTAGTTTTACATTTTCCTTGACACATTCTGTAGCTGTTGTAACCTCTACAGTAGCTGGTTGTGTAGTTGTTTCCATTGAAATCGTTGTAAGTTCACCTATTATGATAAACAATGCATAATAAAACAAAACAAAACTAGCAATTGCAAGGAAATGATGTATCATTGACATTTAAAACATTAACAACTATCATGTGCTGTCCAAAAGAATTTTATCCGTCACCTCATTACATACATATTCGGATGGATTTGGCTATTATTTTTGCTCATATAGCTCTTCAATTTCTCCGGTTCTTATACATCCTTGGCTTTTAAATATTCGGCTTTGAACGTTCTTGTTGAAGGCAAAATCCAGAAAAGCGCTTTGGGCGCATAAAATTCATAACGTGTTGTTTTAATTTTTACACATTCAGTTATGAAGTTTAATTTTTTTCAAAGAGAGGGTACGTATTTACTAAGTAAAAGCGTAATGTTCATGTGATGTCGTCTGAAGAACAGCTGATGGGCGAGTAGTGGATACAGGACTACCTTATCATAGCATATCTTGTTAGAACCAAATAAATTGCAATTTTCTTTTTAAATAGATACATCGTGTAAAGAATTTTGGGGAAGGCAACTAATTTATCCAAAGGTAACCTCATCTATTTAGCACCTTTCTGGATAGTTATCGTTAATGAGATTCATCTATGCATGTGGACGTTTTCTCGAGAAAAGATTAATCTACGAACATGATACAGTATATTAATTGATATGTTGCATGTTCTTTAAACATTTGCAACCAAAAAATCAAAAGGAAACTACAAACACTCATTCATAAACGTCCAAAACCTTGTGTCCTAAAATTTATGTCGATATTATTTTAGGAAAGTCTTATTAAAGAATTTTTTTCATCAATGTTAATTAATTGGAAAATATTTTCATTTTCAAATATAAGTAAGATAGAGAAAAATGTGGCATCGAAGCCACCCTGTATGTAATAATATATAAAAAGGTTAACTGGTATTATCCAAATATATTAGACAGTAAATGAAACTACACAAACCACCCTCCAGAAACTCCATCGTTAACTATCTGATCATCATCCTTCGATTGAAATCGACATTACATGCATTGCAACCGCCAGTTTTGGTTTATCATGGGCATAAAGGTAAAAAAAAGATGTTCTATGAACCTATATGACATTCTACTTTGTTATTTAACCAAATTGGCATGAAGTTTGTTATTAATTCGGCAATATATGCATCAATGGGTAAAAAGGCGTCTTTTAAAAATGCGTTTTATAATAAGAGCAGAAATGGCAAAGCATCACATTGACTGCAGATAGAAAATACTTGCAATACAGTTAACACACTTTCGACCAGATATAATAAAACCCAATATTCAATTCTTACCACAAATGGAAACTTCTACACTGTCCAAACGTATACTGGTGCTGCCAGGCTCTTTTGTGACTGTTATTTTTATAACACCATAGGATTTCAATTCCAAAGGGATTTCATCACCCGGCTGAATATTTAGAGTCTGAAATAGTGATACAAAATAATGTCATTTTCTTGATATGCAAATCAATATATATACGTAAAAGTTTACATGTAGAGACAACCTGTATTATTAAAAGATGGTTATTATTTTATTAAATTTGAATTAGATATCCTATCATTTCAGATAACAATTTTATGATGATTTATGTATTTTGTAGAAGTACCCGATAATGTATATTTTGGAGCGTCACTGATGAGTCCTATGTAGACGAAACGCGCGTCTGGCGTATCAAATTATAAGCCTGGTACCTTAAATAACTATTGGAAAAATCATTGTAAAGACTGTTCATGTTTACTGAAATTGAAACTTCCTATTTTTTAGTTAGATACTTGTTTAAACACAGTAGCAAGCGTTTATGTTTGGCATAAATCACGAAATTATGTAACGATCAATTTACATAAAAATTTATCAGAGGTATTCTAGTAATTATTTTTATTTTATGTAAGCGCCAGGGTGCATATACCAATATATTCACCTCAACAGTTGTAAAATCTGTTGGATTTTCTGGGAGCGAAACCTCCACGGTTATACTAGCAATGTTCAACCCCAAAACCTTTAAACCGTTAACTTGATCTTCCAAATCACTGATCTCCAAAACAAATGTGTCTTCGTTTATCTCAACAAATTTGTTATCGGCACTCTGTCGGAGTGCATTTTTGTCATCCACTGACAAAGTTGCGGTACGTGAGACAATCTTTGAGCCATCAATAGTAGGCATTATGTTTGTCTTGACACATTCTGTAGTTGTTGTAACCTCTACAGTGGTTGCTTGAGGTGAGGTTGTTCCAGTGGGTAAGGTTGTAGGAATTACTGAAATGATAAGCAAATATTTTATAATACAAAACAACACATTTGAAGGGGCATATATATGTTCAACATGGAAATGATTGAATATTTTAAAACTTTTTTGTTGAATTTGTCGAATACTTGAAAAAGCTATTTACCTATTGCCTTAAATATTGGATATAATTTTTCTCATATTAACCATGTTCATATTTCATTACAGTTGATATATCGAAATTTTGAATTGTTAAATCCACAAAACGACGTATTCTTTTCCTGATCCTGTACAATTGAACAAATTTGGAATCAAAAAGAATTTCAATTAACATTCTAAGCTTCTCCCTACACATAAGTTAAAACGTTACATATTTTTCTTTGGACTAATTAGTTTTAATTAACGCTCAAAGTAACCTTATGCCACAATGGTTGTTAGTCTGTGTGAAACATACGAATTACACCAGAATCGATGTCATCTAAACGCATTTTATATAATCAACAATAATTGATTATTCATTATAAACTATATATATATGATGCAATACAAAAATCACAGACTCGAATTTTAGTCAAAGCAAGTAGACTACAACTTAAAACAAAACAATGTTATCATTCATAGCACCTTCTACTATTATAATTTGTATTTCAACCAAGAGCTCAATGTATTAAATGTTAAAAATCAATCTTGATAAGCAAGATATTTAAAATAATAATATCAACAATTGAATAACATTTTGTAAATCATACAAACCAGATGGTGTTACTGTTGTCGGGATGGCTTGTGTGACTGTAGTTGTTTGTTTTGCTATTGAACATTAAATTGTAAAATTATTTTCGCAAAAGTTTCGTCTTTTTTATAATTTAATCATATACGAAAAAAAGTATTTAACAACTAGATTTATATAAAATAGCACAAGTATCCACAGTCTAGTTAATTTTATTTCAAGTACTTGTATTAACAATAAAGCAGATATTGACGAATGAAAATAACGTAATTATCTGAAAGCTCTCAATAAAAGGTCGGTAATACATGTAGTAATTCTTATTTGTCATGTAGAAAATAAATAAACAGTTAACATAACTCAAGTTAACAAAAATGCTCTCGATAAATTTATATTTCATCTAATTTATTTATAAGCAATAAGAATAAAAATGGAAACCCCGATTAATTTAGCTTTAACACAGTCAACTTTTAATTCCTGAATACCTAATTTATTTTTGACCGAGTAAGTAATGCTAACGTGTCAATTGATACAAAACATAATATAAAATTATTTTTTTTTTATGAAAATATGTTTATCTTACCGCAACTTAAAACTTCTACATCATTCAAGAGAATACTGGCGCTGCCAGGTGTTTTTGTTATTGTTATAACAATTTCATTGTACAATCTCGACTCAAGTGGAATTTCCTGGCCTGGTATAATAATCGGTGTCTAAAATATAATGATACAAAAATCATTTTAGTTTTAACTGCTATCAAGAAAAGGGACATATCACTGTAATATAAACATTATATATAAACATATTTCTAATTAAGGCATGCATGGTTGCTTTGACTAAATTTTTGAATTATTTTTCATTTTTACTGCTACAAGGTTCAAATACCTTTAATTGCGTTTGCCATTCCTAATGGAAAGTACATATAGTCTATGCAGAGCTAATATTGATATACAAATCTTAAATTTCTTATCAAATTTTGAATGGACACTATTGATTGCATATTTCCTGACTACAAAAGCAGAAGTAAATTGAAGTTGTATCTTGAATACTTATTAAGATGAATATATAAATTATTTACCTCAACAGCTTCAGATACTAGAGGACTTTCTGGAAGAGAATATGTTACAGTAATAGTTCCGATGTTTTCTCCTAAAACTTTTAAACCGTTTACTTCATCGTCCAAATTGCTGATTTTAAGAATAAATGTTTCACTTGCTATCTCGACCACCTGGTCATTGTCCTCTGTGAGTGCTTTTATGTCGCTTGTTAACAAATTTTTTGTAGGTGAAACAATATTTGAAGCATCAAGTAAAACTTTAGTCTTGAAACATTCTGTAGTTGTTGTAGCCTCCATTGTAGTTGTTGTCACTGATGTAGTCGTTGCTGTAATAAAAACATATAATTGTATATATGCAACATGAATTATGACAAATATGTTGGAGGAAAAAAGTTTCATCAATTTGTTTTATTTACTCAATAAAATTATTTAAAGTGTAAGCTTATCTTTTATTAATTCAAAGCAAGCAATCATTTAATACAATGTGAAGATATTTAATTCCGATAGTGTTGTAGTAGTACAAAGGAAAGTTTAGTGTTACGACATAAATGAAGTTCTCAAGACAAATTTTAAAAAAATTAACTCAGCTATTCGGAATAGAAATTAATTCAGGATCGTCTAAGAAAAACAGTTATACAGCATATTATAGGTAAATATTGGTCAAGTCAGTTATTTGATAAAATCAAGTTATTATTGAAAATCTATAATATTTGATCCCGATAGTATTTGCTATACTTCTGAAGCAATACATCCATGATTTTGGTGAAAGAATTGCATTCATGTAAGACGAGAGACCCGTTGAAAAATAGAATACTAAGAATTGTAATGAAAAATAAGAAGATGTGGTTTGATTGCCAAATGATACAATGCTCCACCAGAGACTAAATGACATACAAGAAAAGATCTATATGTCACCGTACGGCCTTCAACAATGAGCAAAATCAATACCGCATAGCAAGCTATAAAAGGTTACAAAATGACAAATTTAAACAATTTAAACGAGAAATCTATCCAACTTATTTATTTACAAAAACACCAAATATGATACACAGCAACAAACGACAACCACTGAATTACAGGTTTTATTTTGATGTACGTTTTGTAATATGTTAGTGCTATCTGAAACAACAATGAAAAGATTTCTTCCTAAATATTGCAATTACTTTGGATTTTATTGTTAAACTAATAGTATTAAACTTTGCTTTCTAGTGCAATTTGAAATCCTGTTTATTAAGAAGAAGTGGAATCCCTACTGTTTCTCTTATAAATCTTCTGTCCTTTTTTTCTCATAAAAATATTCGATTATTGTTTTTAAGGATTGTACTGAAACTACAACTAAAAATATAGGAAATAAGCATATTATATGCAAACAAATATCAAAAGGTTTATATGGATCATTTCTTTTTCAACGTTCTATCAAGTACCAACTTCATTTTGAGAGGAGAAGACTTCTTGGCATTGTGTCGCACTCCAGTGTACATTATATCCAACTGGTCATCGGTTTGTATCCGTCTATCGGAAATTGCAATGCTCTTGTATCATAACTGTTCACCGCTGTCTTGTTTAATAAATAAAACTAATAAGATACGTTAAATACTTACTACAACCTTGCTCGTCCAATCCATCACCACAATCATCATGCCCATCGCATTTAAGGTTAAAAGGTATACACTTGAAGGTGCTAGTACAAACGAACTCTTCTGTCCCACACTCTAAAAACCATCATATACACGTGTATTAATTAGAACAAATACATTAATCCATTTGGACTATGTTTGTATGCAACATCTTTTAAAAGAAATAAAACGAACGATTAAATTTTGCTACATGCTTAGTTTCTTTTTGATTTCATTTGACACAAAATAAACGCTCAAGAATCAATTACCAAATATATGTCTTTCCTTCATGGCTTTGATTCAACAAACTGAAAAATATTATTGTTGTATCTTCAAATCGTTATTTAAGAATGGTAATTAAAACAAAAAGGGTTATACCAATTACCTTAGCAAATTACTAAAATCTGAACTGTTTAGAATTGGACCTTCATACGCGCTTTTAATGATTTACCTGTAGCAGGTACGCTCAAAACCAATCAATTGAAAGTCACGGATGTATAGATACTTATGGGGCAATTAACAAAAATGTATTGCTATATATATAACGTAGCAAGGTTTCACGTTAGAGAGAAAATCTTTTCCATTCCTGGAAAGTTATTGTTGTTTCTTCTCTTTTTTTGAAATAGAGTTGATTCGAAACTTACTTCACTATTGTCAAAACAAAGAAGCGGAAGGTACCAAAAGGACAATCAACTGAATTGCGCAATTGTATTTACAAAACCTAATATATTAATTCAATAATGCGAAATATACCATTCAGTATTTATTTAATCGAGAAATTTTACCTACACTCACAATAATTATAAACATATCAATGAAACACTTCGAAATCATTTGTCGACAGACAAACCATATCATGGTCGAAGGTCAAAAAGAAAAACAGAAAACATAGTCTTAAGTATTATACAAACGATTAGCGAAAGAAACTCGGGGTGAACACAAATGCTCCGAAAAATTTTATGACACAAATCGTTTCAAGTTTTTCTTTTTAAATTTTTTTTCATACTCTAACGTCGTTTTCTTGTCTAAAACATGTAACTATTGTTGTTTGCAAAAAATAAAATAATCCCTACCTACCTACCAAACCCTACAAGGCATGGGTAGGTAACAGCAAACAAAGAATTTGTTAAGGGTGGCCAAAATACAATTAAATGATGCCACGCAATGTATTTTGGTTGGAGCAATAGCCTTGAAAATAGCTATTTAGCATACAGAGAAAAAAGTCATATTTATGAAATATATACAAATGGAGATGATCTGTTTAGATGAATGCTATTTATTTTGTTCAAATTTAAGTCATTCTGTTGTTATTGTGTTAAATTTATAGTACAAAGCTAATGACATTAACACATATTCAAAATTCACATTTTCAATCTTTAATTATTTGCTATTAATTGTGAGTCAACGTGTATTATTTCGCACTGATTTATTGCATTCCTTTGTTGATTTTCTTATCCCAGGAATAGATTACCTTAGCCGTATTTGGCACAACTTTTTGGAATTTTGGGTCCTCAATGCTCTTCAACTTTGTACTTGTCTGGCTTTATAACTGTTTTGATCTGAACGTCACTGATGAGTCTTATGTAGACGAAACGCGCGTCTGGCGTATTAAATTATAATCCTGGTACCTTTGATAACTATTGACCACAAAATCTAAGGGAAAAACATCCAGCCGCCAAAAATGATGAATGAAATCTGACAATTGTAAGGGATCTTTATATGAAAATCCTCTGTCATGGATATTTGAAGATAAATTTCAGAATAAAATAAAGCATTTGTATACTGTGATTTACGATGAATTTGACATTATTTTTATGTTGTTAAAATATAAAGTGTCTATTAGGGAACTTTTCAAGTGCAAGGAATAAAACTTGTCTGTAACTTTCTATAAAAACACTCACTATCTCTCATTTACACTAACATACACAGCTTCTTTAATTCATTTTCCTTTTTGAAAGGCTTTATCAGATTCATTTACGATCGTATTATTTCGAAGTCCAAACAACAGATGTTAGATATCCCATTTTCAAAATAAATATCCGAAATTGTATTTCCTGATCGTGTTCCTTAATCTTTTTCATGTCACTTCTGATCAGACCATATTTGATAAGCATGTTTTTTGTAATAAAGGATATTATTCATTAAATGATTGTATTACTCACCAGTAGTACAGTTGACTTCGTCAGATAAATCATCTGTTCCACAATCATAATATTTATCACACCTAAACTTTTTACTTATACATTTCCCTGAGTCACATCCAAATTCATCTTCAGAACACGTTGGTGCTAAAACAAATCATATAAAATAGATCTAATGTAGATTCATATGGATTGTGTCATCTTTATTAAAGGCAATTTGAACTAATATTAAATTATTAATTTCAATAATCAAATAAAGCAAGGTGTTAAATTTGAAAAAAAATCAAATCTTGAAATTAATGTAGTAAATGTACACATACACTTTATTTTACTTTACATTGAAAACGTCATTATTATAATACATTTCATTTTTTATCAAACGACGTAAGATAATTTGTTGATCTGGCATAATATATAGGCATTTCATTTCATTTCACAGACAAAATAAACCTAAGTCTTTAGTTTTCTATTTTGTGTGTTGTATACTGTTGTTTGGTGGGGCTTTTTTGTGGTTTTCCTTCTTTTATGCCATGGCGTTGTCAGTTTGTCAGACTTATGAGTTTGAATATCGTTTTGGTGTCGTCCGCCTCTCTTTTGTACATGCACTTTACTGAAGAAAAGATTGTCACTTTTATAGTTAGGTGATTAAAAATAGTTTTTAATAATAAAATATTGAATATAACTTACTGCAATCTCTTTCGTCCATGCCATTAATACAGTCACTTCTTGAATCACATATATAATTCAGAGGAATGCATGTTGTATTGCTCTCATCACAGGCAATCATACCAGTGGAACAGGTAAGGTCTGAAAATATAGGTAGAATTATTATAAACAATTTTAGATACATATTTGGGAAGAAACAAACCTTTAATTATTTAACAAAGTACAACATCCATCGCACTAAATTTAGCAACTAGTAAAACATATTGTATATTTCTGAGTTTTGGTATTTAAATAAATAGATATTTCCATAATCTAAAATCATCCTTTGTTTATGTATTTATGTACTTATTGAGGTAAGCTACACCATGTCTGTGACTTTTAAAAGAATTAATATCTGAAATTTCAAATACGTTATATCTATTTCCTTTGAGTACACACTTATGCGAGTAAAAATAAATGAAAAAATTAAAACACGTTATAAATATCATGCGTCCGAAGCGCTTTTCTGGATTTATCTTCATCAGGAACGCTCAAAGCCGAATATCTGAAAGCCAAGGATGTATAAGGACCGAAAACGTTGAAAAGCTATAAACCAAAAAGGACATAAAAACAGTCAAATCCATCTAAGGCCATCACTCTCTAGTTTATACTAAAAATAAACCCTCCTGTTCAGAGTGACATTACTAGTTAACATAACATTTTATAAAAAGTGTATAAAAATGCGAGATAGCATTACTTCTTATCATACGAGTCCCCATGTGGACAATAACAAGACATGTTGAACACGAAGGTATACAGTTTTCGTCTGATTTAAAGTAAACCGCATATTTATTTTTTTATTATTTCATACATATACTTACTGCATTTTTCATCAGAGCCGTCGTTACAGTCGGGATGACCATCACAGTAGTACATCTTATCTATACAGTCCCCATTGGTACACATGAACTCATTATCTTCACACTTGCCTTCACAACTTGTCCCAAAGCACTGGAATTTCCCATTAATGCAGGTGCTAAAACATAACAATTTTCGAAGTTGTTATTTTCAACATTTAGTTTTAATAAATGAATTGACCCTAGAAACTAAGTGTATGCAACTCATCTTATTTTTATTTTAAAATATTAAATTTGATGTTTTAATGTTGGTGATGGCATTATACTTTATTATTCATCAGTTGATAATTTATAACAACTAATACATAATAGCAATTTTGGTATATTTGTCTCGTTAAACGTCACTTTAATTTTAAGAAGAATTCACATTTGTTTCACTTACCAATTCATACAATTGTCAATAATAGAGGTTCCAGGAGGATAATCTCTTCCATTGTGAACACAATTACATTCATTTGCAGGTATGCACTGTGTGGAATTGTACCTTGTGGCTGTAATCATATAGAAAAAGCATTATCTTCTTTATAGTAAAAACTCATCAAAGATAACAGATGTATGAATTATGGATGTACTTGCAAAAAGTAAAATAACAAAAATACCGAACTCCAAGGAAAATTCAAAACAGAAAGTCCTTTATCAAATGGCAAAATTAAAAGCTTAAACACATCAAACGCACGGAAAACAACTGTAATATTCCTGACTTTGTACAGGCATTTCCTTATGTAGAAAATGGTGGATTAAACATAATTTTATAGCTAGCTAAACCTCTCACTTGTATGACAGTTGCAAAGAATTCCATTATATTGACAACAACGTGTGAGCAAAACAAACACACATAATAGGTAAAAATGTCAAAAATTAGGGTACAGCAGTCAACATTGTGTTATAATTTTAGTCACTATAAAAACAAATAACTATTTCCACATAGAAGGGCAAATTGAAAACTTTTTAATTTTAATTATATCTGAAGATGTTGAAACCTTAAAAAACCTATACATGGCTAATGTACTATTCTTTCGATGTAGCAATGCCATAAGCATAGAAATATAAGACTCCAGTACTATCTACTAAATTGAATTGAATTGAAATAAATACACCTGGTTGGAAATACGTTTTTAATTGAAATATCTAATTCGAGTTATAGAATATCACGAATTAACTACTTATAGGGATAACATTAAGGTTGCTATTCCTTTATGCAAAATAGAACTCAAACAGTTTTACTTGTTTTATAAATGCTCTTTCAGATAGAAAAATTCTTGCTCTCGGTTTATATAACTTCAGTAAAAAATTAGCTTTTTTTAGAATGATGTGTTGTGCTCATGGAAATATTTTTTCGGTTTAAATTTGTTATCCATTTCCCATAGTCCGTGTATGTTTAAAATCTAATGTTCATATTTTCACTCAAGCAATACACAATATATCGGAAGTCTAACTTTTACTATACTATTTTCAATGGAACAACAGAGTATAAATATATATTCAACCCAGCAAACACGTCTATTTTTACTTGTTAATAGTTTCAATAAACTTACTAGTTTCAACATAGCCCTCTGGGCAAAAGCATCCTTCAACACAGTATGTTGATTCACACCATTGATCAGGTTCATCTCCAATATTTCTACATGTTTGTGGACATGGTTTACCGCATGCTTTATATTCATATCCATACGGACACATGATTGCTGTAAAATCACATCAATGATAATGTATTAATATTGATATGTAGTTTTAAAATGTTAGGGTGACATTTGTCTTGATATAGGACCAAATAATGATTTGAATGCTTTAATTAAATTTTGTTTAAGAAGGATAGGGGCCAACACTATAATAAGGAAAACTTGAAACATTTAGTAACAATTAAAAAATGTAACTTAAATTATATTCTTTCCTACATACCTGACAAGGAAACAGGACAGAAAAAAAATCCACATTCATCAATCAATAAAACATTACCCTACCAAAACACAACTTTGTAAAAGTGTGTCTTTGGATACCCCTTACTAGCAAAAAATCAAAGGGTATATATATTGCATGATAGTAATTAAAAACATGAAAATAAACAGTTTTACAGAATTTAAAAAAAACTTACGACAAAATCTTGGATTCCTCCATTTGACTGGTTTACCGACTTCATTACATTTCTCAGCAAACATAGCAACAGCAGTACACAAACATTCACAGTCACCGCCGCTATCACATCTTAAATATAGGAGATATATATTATATCATTTATTTCATTCATTTTTTTTATTTCACGAAGTTCATATGGATATGTAGCAGTCTTTCCAGTCTTCCTGGGAAGCTCCTGTATGATGTCTGTCTCGTATAAATAAAGGCAAAAGTCGGAAGAAAGATGAAAACAATTTGTTCCCATAGGGATGTCGATTATTTGTTCAAAAACACGTCCTCCAAACGTAACAAATATATTGTCAATAAAACAAAATCAAACATTTTGATGATGTAAGATGATGATATTTGTATCTTCTTTTTTATTAAACAAAGTAGGACTAGTTTTTTCAATCTTTAAGCTTAGAATGGGGTACACTTGTGTAAAGAGTAAAACAAGTCAAACTTTTGTATACTATTGCAAGAAAAAAAGAATGAGATTGTATGTACTCCTAAAGATCTTTCGAATGAGAAAAAGAAACGAAGGTTTTCGCTGTCTTATCATGGCAGCCGAATAAATATAGAGAAAAACGTATCAAGCGTTAACTATCGATACTTTAAGAAAACATTTTCCTGACGACCTATCCAGAATGTTATCCTTTACTCTAATGAGATATAACAAAGTTATGGTTTTATTGTTTATTTGATTGAACTGAAAACATAATATCACACTCTGCGAGCTAGCATTTTCAATCAGTAAATTTGACCATTTGTCTTTCTGGTTTGTATTTTTTATAAACAGGTCAATTGAATACTGACCAATAAATGACATACTTGCATGAATCATATAAACAATTTTTGTAGTACTCTTCCACTTTTGATTCACCACCAACAATTGCTTGTCTACATTCTTTAAAGAGATCTTCGTTAATGATGTTACAAGAAGCTTCGGCCCATTTTAATCTGTTTGATAGAGCACCCTGTAAAAGGAAAAACAGGTAATTATGAAATTACAGGAAAAAGACACTATAGAATTATTTTGTATGATAAATATTTATACAAAAAAAGTAAAATCACAAAAATACTGAACTCCGAGGAAAATTCAAAAAGGAAAGTGCCTAATCAACCTGACAGAATCAAAAGCTCAAACACATCAAACGAATGGATAACAACTGTCATATTCCTGACTTGTACAGGCATTTTCTTATGTAGAAAATGGTGGATTGAACTTGGTTTTACAGCTAGCTAAACCTCTCATTTTTATGACAGTCGCATCAAATTTCATTATATTGACAACGATGCGTGAACAAAACAAACAGACACAATAGGTAAAAATGTCAAAAATAGGGGTACAGCAGTCAACATTGTGTTATAATCTTAATCACTATAAAAAAAAAATATAACAAAGAAGCACAAAAAGGCATACATCAAATTTAACATCCTCATTTTGCTTTTTATTATACGATTTTATTTATCTATGTAAAATACACCCATAAAGGATGGAAGGTTATAAGTACTGGCGTAGAGTAGCGCGTTTGACGTCACACAGGTAGATATAAAATAATTTTGTCGTTCAAAGTATGACGGGATACATAAGTGCAGAGTCACGTCAACTAGATATAAAAAAAACAGACTTAACAGTAAAAGCAATATTAATAAAATAAAATTAAAGAACGTTAGTGAGCGCGCTCACATACCCCACGTCCCCACATTGTCATTGGAGAAATAAAATAAGTGTAAGAAAAAAAAATTGTATCAGAAAAAAAATTGAATCATAATTTCCTGTCAATATGCACATCTACATAGTATGTCCTTATTATCTACACAGTTTCATGAAATTCTGTTGTGTGGTTTGAGAGGAGTTGCGATGACAAAAGGGTTGCAGTAGTATATTGGGCAAAAAAGTTCAAAGAGGCGTAACTCCTGGAAAAAAATTTGAATCGTAATTTCCTGTCGATATGCACATCTACGTAGTATTTCCTTATTATCTGAAAAGGTTTCATGAAATTCTGTTGTGTGGTTTGAGAGGAGTTGCGATGACAAAAGGGTTGCAGTAGTATATTGGGCAAAAAAGTTCAAAGAGGCGTAACTCCTGGAAAAAAATTTGAATCGTAATTTCCTGTCGATATGCACATCTACGTAGTATGTCCTTATTATCTGAAAAGTTTTCATGAAATTCTGTTGTGTGGTTTGAGAGGAGTTGAGATGACAAAAGGTTGCAGTAGTATATTGGGCAAATAAGTTCAAAGTGGCGTAAATCCTGGAAAAAAAATTCAATCGTAATTTCCTGTCGATATGCACATCTACGTAATATGTCCTTATTATCTGAAAAGGTTTCATGAAATTATGTTGTGTGGTTTGAGAGGAGTTGCGATGACAAAAGGTTGCAGTAGTACAGTGGGCAAATAAGTTCAAAGGGGCGTAACTCCTGGAAAAAAATTGAATCGTAACTTCCTGTCGATATGCACATCTACGTAGTATTTCCTTATTATCTGAAAAGGTTTCATGAAATTCTGTTGTGTGGTTTGAGAGGAGTTGCGATGACAAACTGTTGCAGTAGTACATTAAAGTAAATAAGTTCAAAGGAGCGTAACTCCTAGAAAAAAAAATGAATCGTAATTTCCTGTCGATATGCACAACTACATAGTATGTCCTTATTATCTAAAAAGGTTTCGTGAAATTCTGTTGTGTGGTTTAAGAGGAGTTGCGATGACAAGAAATAGAACTGACGGACTGACGGACGGACTGACGGACGGACAGACGGACGGACGGACGGGTCAAAAACATTATACCCTCCGCAACTCGTTGCGTGGTGTATAATTATTTTGTCGTTCCAATAAAATTGAGAATGGAAATGGGGAATGTGTCAAAGAGACAACAACCCGACCAAAGAGCAGACAACAGCCGAAGGCTACCAATGGATTTTCAATGCAGCGAGAAATTCCCGCACCCGGAGGCGTACTTCAGCCGGCCCCTAAACACAAATATATACTAGTATACTATAAAGTATGACGGGATACATAAGTACAGAGTCACGTCAAATGGATATCACAAAACACAGACTTAACAGTAAATGTAATATTAATAAGGACAAATAAAAGAATACTATAACACGTTATTAAGATGATAAACAATGTCAGTACGCAGAATATATACTTCAAGACCATCGTGTATTATTTGTGAAGTTGATACGGAATATTTATCAACAAGGTCTTGGTACCTTCCGATGAACTTTTTTAGAAAAAGGACGAGACGTTCTTTGACATACCCCTGGTTCATCAACTTTCTTTCCAGACACTGGTGACGATTTACAAAGTCTGAGTAGGAGCTGCAAGCTCTTGAATACCGAATAAGTTGGGAAATGTATATCCCGTATGCAGGTGAAGTTGGTATATTGCTACTAAGGTGGGGGAAATTGATAATTTCAAAATTAAAATCGTCTCGTACAAGTAATTGAAATTGATGCCTGCTCCTTTTAGACCAGCACACACATAAGATAAGAAAGAGCTTGGCATATGTTTTTGAAGTAGATATCTAATTATTCGATTAGGACTTCGATTTCAATTTAACTAACGAGAGTTAAGTTTGCTTACTTTTAAAATTTTGTTTTTTCAAGAAACCAGTAAGAATATTTAGGAGCAAACCTACCACTTAAAATTGATTTCGTAATTATTTTGTTAAGTTTTTGTCTTACATTGTCCATTACTTTAAACGCTGTAAACATAATATAGAAAAGTGTCAACTGGATATCAACCGAGTAAATTATTGTCGTATCATTTATTAGAAAACCCGGCCTAGATGATAAAGTACTGTCTTATTATCGGTTCAAGCTCAATTAAAAAGAAACCTTTTCATCTTTTATAATGTTTGATGTTTCGTAGTGAATAAATTTAATGATAAATTCGTGGATGACTTACTGAATTGTTTATACTTTTAAAATAAAAAGACAACTGTCAAAACACAAATAGAAAAAAAACCCATTACTTACAGTACAAGGACCTTCAGTAGATTCAGCAGTTACTGAATCATCACATGTTGTATCAACCGTCCAACTTTTGGCAAATTCAATTATTGATGTTGTTTCACTACCTTCTTTGGTCACCATTTCTCCTGATTCAGACAATCCGTCAAAATTTCCACAAAGTCCCTTTACTTTGCCCATCCATTGTGTTTTATTCAAGCTGACTTCAACCCTGGTTCCTTTAAAAGGAAAACAAATGTATTCATTATCAAGGACAAACCAATGAACATTCTTAATATCAAATGGTATAGTTTAATTTAATACAAAACGTTATTTTTTTTCTTTCCCTGATGTAGGAAACCTGTCCTTTAGTACACTACCCAAATAATCTAAATATTGATGTTTTCATTATGACGTTAATGATCGTTATGGAATATATAAAAGTTTAAACTTTACAAGGTAGACTGAATGAATATCATAACCAATATTCAAAAATTAGAAATAAAACATTTCACAAAAACATTTTAGCAAATTTCTAATATGCACAGTTGAATAATAAGGATGAATTGACGGAATTGACAGAAACATATTTTGAAAAAGAGGTCGGAAATAACTATAAAAACAAAGCATATGTTGACCCAAATACTGAAAGGTACAGCTTAATGATAAGTTGTGGTCTAAATATCGGTCCTTGTGAAAATGCTACATATAATATAGTGTTCAAAATATATGAAAAATAGATGATGACACATCAATTTACATAGCCCTCGAATACATAACAACATAACCCCTCAGAGAATGCATGTCATACTATATATATAACCCTTCGGAGAACGTCTTGTGTTTATAATGTCAGCATTGGTATGAAATATGTTATACTTAATATATAAAAATAAAATTTTGTTGATATTTTAAGACTTCATATTTCAATTTTTGAGCACTTTAGACACTGGTCGACCTGAACAGCTCGGACAAATTAAACAAAATGAAAATTCCTGACAACAATACTGAGAAAAAAAAACAATAAACCAACGATCAAAATTGACCGGAAGTGACAAGCAATGCTTTTTATGGATATCCTCAACAACATTTCCGCTATTACCCGCAAATAATTTAGGTGTTTGAAATATATATAACACTTGTCTAATATATTTTGTTTATTTTTATTAAAACAAGTACCTCCATCCCACAATACTGCAATTCCCAATGATGTGGCTTTTATCACTGTCCAGTAGCTATGTGTACTAACAACCAGTCCTTCACTATTGTACTGGTCACTAGTTAGTGGTGTATTTCCTATCTTTACTTGTTCACCACGTATAAGATGGATTATGGTACTTTTAATTGTTATTACAGTGGATTTGGTACATGTTACACTCGTTGTCCCACAAGGAACATTTTCCACTGTTACACTAAATGAATTATCGTCTGTTGCTACCAGAAAATATTTACAAGATCCTTGGAATGCATAGCCCTTGCCATCAAAAGTTGTGTAATGAGGATCCCCATATACCCAGCAAGTACCTAAAATGCAAATGATATATAGTTATAGAATAAAAAATTAAATAAACCGTTCTCAAGCAAAATTCATGAAAGAAAATGACATGAAAAAGGCTTTACATTATAGTTTTATTCTTTAAATAAAGAAATATTCACCAGGCTGTTACCAAGAAACACTAGAATACCAATAAGAGGCAATTTCATTGTATCTGAAATGTACAGAAGAAAATATTGCTGTAAAATACCCTTACACCAGAGTGGTCATTTATTTTGTTTCCCCTTTTTTCAACTTTTACCAAAAGTTTTCTGACAAATACTTAGTGAATATAAATGTGTTCAATAACGAAGAACCTAATCGGCTGTTAAATAATTACCTGGGCAGTCCACTTCTCCAACCTTGATGAAATGTCGATTTTGGCATTTCCTGCAATTCGTATTAAGTATATTTATTAAAACTTTGAATCTACATATTAACTTATAATAGTATAACACAGTGATTTTAGTTTTTTTAAGCTGATATGAAATAGTTTGGTGATATTCAAACAAAAATAAGAACAATAAGGTATACTTAGTATTTCCAGTCATTATGTTTCATAATACAAATCCTCTATGTTTGACCTCAAGTTAACAAAGATGAAGCTACAAATGTCAATATCACAATAAAGTTGAAATAAACATTCCAACAATGTTAATAGTTTCAATTTATACTAATACTTTAATTAGTGAATACTTGATAGCGTTTCATATTTTTGTACTCACATTCTGACACACTTAATTGTAACTTCTTCGCCTTCTTTATAGTAGTCATGACCATACATACAAGGACATCTCTCTGGTTGAACGCATGATCCCTAAAAAGTATAATATACTATAAGATTTGTGCATACAAATCATCTCCTTTTCATTTATATTCATTGTTATGTTGTTTCTTTGTTTTGCTAGTAATTTTATTATTAAAAACCATGTAGAAATCGAAATGATAAGCGTGTTTGCAACATCACGTTTGATCTATCGCTCCTGCAAAATTCTCAATTTTTTCGGACAATGTATGTAAATAAATCATGAAAGAATAGCAAACTAGAGGATAGAAAATCGATTGCCAATGTGAAGAAGTATTTGTGTGAAAAAAAATGATGACAGAGTTTTTTCATACATGGCAAAAATGTAGTTTATATCGTGTTATTTCAAAAATATGATAAAAATTATAGGTCACCGAGCTTCATTTCAAGCTAAAGTTTGTGAAAAATTTACAGATTGTGTAAGGATTATAAAAAAGCATCATTATGTAAACAGAAAGTAAATTAAATGAAAAAAGTATGAGAAGATACAGATGGATGTACGAAAGTTAATTCTGAGCAGAAATTTTGACTGCTTTCAAATTAACTTGATATATTTTGGAGCAGACAAGCAAGTTGATTTTATCTTTGGCAGACCAGACATTAGGTCTGCATTTTAATTACTGGTGCAGGCCTGTTGACATGTCTGCTCCAGACCATGATCAGGTCTACTTTTGTTGTCTAATCTGATATTTAACCGATTGTGTACTTTTCCCGATTTTGACATTAAGACTCACGTGGATTCACTTAGTGGGCGGTGCATGCATAGAAGTAGACGTTTCTCCTATAGACGCAACCGGTCTCGCTCCTTTTGGAGTTCATGTGATTCCCGTAGGTTGTGTTTATTGCCTTGATTTTTCGATTCATGAAATTTTAACATCAGATAAATACTGCTGTCTATATTTAACGGTCCCGAGGGTGAGTCTGCTTTTGACAGTAAGCTCGTTTGTCAACTAACAGAATACTCGTTGTCAATAGGCCCAGTAGAAAATATTTATTTGCATGCGGTAAGTTGATATTTAACAATAAACAGAAATCAACAATTGCAAAAAAGAGTCTACAGGTAAATAAGCTGAAAACATTTCTTTGTCCTTTGGTCTTTATGAAAAGATGTCACATCGACAATCACACTACATCTTAATTATTTTCATACTAATAATAATATAAATACTTACATCAGGTGCCATTACTGTACCATTGGTACAACCACAACCTTTGTAGTGTGTGTTGTCATTGCATGTCATCTTCAAATCGATATTTGCACAGGTCTTGTGTACATTGCATATTGAGTCGGCTTCAATGTACTGTTGATTTTTTGGGCATACAATATCTTCACATTCATTATGATCACAATCCCATGCACCGTCCAGACATGTGCTATAATATATAATGATGTTACAAAGCATTTTAGAATGGCATTTGGTATATTTAAAAGTTTTCTACACTTCCGTGCCATCAAACATTGTTATATTTATTGTTAAACTTTATACTAGTTCTTATTAAATACTAGTTACAACTACTATTTAAAAAATATCAAACACAAAAAATAATAGAGGAGGTATAATAAAGTTAAATATTGGTTGTTGCTTAATTGGAAAAGTTTTAAAAAAATTATATCTATCAAACAAAATTGTTCAAAAGAGGGACGAAAGATACCAGAGGGACAGTCAAACTCATAGATCGAAAACAAACTGACAACGCCATGGCCAAAAATAAAAAGACAAATAGACAAATAATAGTACAGATGACACAACATAGAAAACTAAAGACTAAGCAACACGAACCCCACCAAAAACTGGGGGTGGTCTCAGGTTCAAAAGATAATAATCTCTCAGATAGTTTCATAACTAAAAAAAGTGTTTGAATTTTACACAATTGTATCTTAAAAATCTCTTAACACCTTTTGCATTAATGTGACATTTTTGGGGTAAGACTATTTTTTATTTAAGGAATGACTGTAATATTTTTTTCTGTCTATGAAGAAATAACATCAAAAATGTGGTGCACACTGAATAACCCGCGTAGCGTGTAATCTAAAAGTGTGCACCACATTTTTTAGGTTATTTCGAATAGACAGAAAAAATATTACAGTCATTCCTTAAAATTTAATTCTAAATTCTATTTTAAGGAGTAAATCATGACAAAAAAACGTTGATGACGTCACGGTCACATGACAAAATTATGTCTATGAGCTGATAGACAAAAAGCTCTCAGCCAATCAGAAGACGTGTAACATCCTAAATTAAAATATTAATTATTTAACCACATAAAAAAACATTTGTAAATGGCCATTTAAGATCAAATATGAACACTTTCACCTGTTAATATTTAAATTAAGTATCACCGGTAAAAAGTAAAATAACAAAAATACCAAACTCCAAGGAAAATTCGAAAAGGAAAGTCCCTAATCAAGTGGAAAAATCAAAAGCGCAAACAGATCAAACGAATGGAAAACAACTGTCATATTCCTGGCTTGGTACAGGCATTTCCTTGTGTAGAAAATGGTGGATGAAACCTGGTTTTATAGCTAGCTAAACCTCTCACTTATATGACAGTTATATAGTAAAAGATAAATAATACGTTTGCAGGAAATTCAAACTTGAAACATGAATTATTATATAATAATATTCACCATATGGCACACTGTCTTGTGATATTTTCACCATGTTCCCAGACTTTATTGCCAAAACTGTATTTATCATAGCAAGTACAATCTGAACGTTTTACACATTCTCCATGATCATCCAAAAACTCTCCATCCGGACATTGACAGCCAGGAATGCATTCTTCTTCACAACTTGAATCTCCTATTTCAAAGTCCCTACAGTTTCCACTGCACAATTTGCCGCATTCTTTGTATTGCATTCCATTTAAGTTACTACAGGAAACCCAGTCGTCTACAAGGTCAAATGAAAAAAAATCATACATGATAATAAATCATTCCCATCATTTAACTAAACAAAAGAAAACATAAACTTCTTTTCTTATTTATCTATTACCTCAATATTAACTCTATGTCTAACATTAAAATCGCAAATCTTATTGCTGTAACTGCTGAATTATATTAATTTCTCCTCAAATTAAAATGTTTGCGATTCTCAATTATAAATAACAAAAAATTTAATATTTGTGAATTACTCATTCATAAAATTTACATAAGATTTAGTACTTAAATTACTTTTTTTATATAAATAAGGTATGAGTTTTCTTTGTTTAATTGCTGGTCAGTAATATGATATATTTGATTCATCTGTAACTTGAAAAAATATGACCTTTCTCATTTTATATCAAGTTCCCTTTTGTGGCCTGTACTCAATATTTGCTTTTATTTATATATTCTAACATCTTCCGACTAATTTTTTAATAATCCCATTGAACAATAACAAAAGATAATTTCGGCCTAACTTACGACAGTCCTGTTGTAAAGTGCCATAGTTTCCCCAGTCTATAGCTTCTCCTTGAAGCGAGCAGTGTCTTGCAAAGGCTGCAACCATATCACACATTGCCTCTTTTATAGATATACCATTCCTAGCAAGATTGTCTTGTACGCATTTGTCATAGTAATATTGTATTTTGTCTGTTACTGCCAAACAAGTTCCGAATAGTGATCCTTGCTCTGGATTAAGAGTTCCTTGGTCTGGATCCAAAAATATACATTCTTGTTTTGCAGTGGTATCCTGAAAAAGCGAATTGCATATATCTGAAAAAACTTAAAGAGAGGTAGCAGCATATACGTTATTTTAGTTTTTAACAAATTTTATCCTTTGGTGTTTTTATTTTTGTGGACTGTTGTATGTGATTTCGTCGTTTTTCTTTAAGGTCATGGTAATCATCTGTACTATTATTTGTCTGTTTGTCTTTTTATTTTTGGCCATGGCGTTGTCAGTTTGTTTTCGATCTATGAGTTTGACTGTCCCTCTGGTATCTTTCGTCCCTCTTTTAATGACATATTATTGTACCTGACTGTTTTGAATTGAAAGGATTATTTCCAGAGAGTCGTACGTACGCATAGGTACACAGTTAGACCCATATGTTGCTGTATTATATATCATGTCAGTGAAAGCACCATATAGTGTACCAATTCAAATAACTATAATCATCCGCGATAATTTATTGAATTTGGATCTTTTTTTAATAATATCTGTTCAGTCATACCTCAGTTGGATTGGAAGCTATACTTGGCTCTTTAACTTGGCACTCGTCATTTCGCATACGGTCTACGAAGTTAACAGCATTAGTTTCAACTACTCCGTTTTGTGTGCAGAAATCATCATCCTGCTGGTAATTGTATTTTCCACAGAGACCAATGACCTGAGAAAAACATAATGAAACTCAATTTTGTAGATTATTCTAAGGTCGAAGAATGACAAAATAAAATAAAGATAAAGTGACTTCCTTTACAATAGCGAATTCCTTAACAATATAAACAAACATCTTTTCACCTCGATCATCATTCTTGCTAAGAAACAAATGAGCATCAATATCCACAGATATTATATTTATTATTACAAAAAATGTTCAATAACATCAAAATAAATTGCCTAAATAGTTTTATTGCTTACTTTGTTTGCAAAATAAGGAGCGAGATAAATGTATACAGCTCTTCTTTTGTCAAATAAGACCTTGAATCCAAATGCTTTCACCATTCTGTATTTATTACTGGCTGATTTAATGTACATATGTTTTGAATGAAACGGTTGAGTGTCAATATTTTTCAGTTCTTGTTCGCCGGTGGCTGGATTTTCCTGATCAAAAATATGTACTTTTTCTCCCTCCAAAGTGACTCGCATACTTCTGTATTGAATTACAAGTTTGTTCAAACAAAATATGTCTTCCTTCATATTCGGGCATCTTGCCGTAGACATTTCAATGTTGAGATCTGACCTTGGATCATCCGTGACCCCTGGAATAGGCTGTTTAAATAAAAAAAAGACAATAACTATTAAATAAATTCAATAATAAAACAAAAAATATATCTAAGAACTCTTCCAAATTCTATATATATCTTACCCTTATGAAAAATAAATAAATATCTGGTTAGTAACGTTTTATTTTTGTTCATGAAAGTATGATTGATTGAGTGAGTGAATGAGCAAGTGGCTGATTGCTTAACTTCGAGTCAGCACCGATGATGGAATAAAGTGATATTGACAGAAAGTGTGATGAACAGAGGTCATAAAGCGGTGTCTCGGAATAAAAATGAGTTGGTTTATATTCGCTTAGATGTTTAAATCCCTTATCATTTCAATTTTATATATGAAATACCTTACTTTTTATTATTCATTTTGTAATGTAACAACTGATAACTATAGTGTATAAAGCTATCCCAATTGTTACGTTTGTTTATGCTATTTTCAAGTCCTTCTCTCACATATCTTTTACATGATTTGTTTGCATTAAACAAAATATATAATGATATCCATAAAATAAATACTAGCGGTTAAGATTTAGAAATCTACATATAAACAGTGCATACCATAACAACACTAAAGGTGCAGCTTTGACTTGCAGGAGCAAACGAATACTGATAGTTGTCGAACGTTGTAACATGATTTATCCCAACTATCTCGCACATCTCTGAACATTTATCTTCTGTACATTGCCATCGTCCATACGTACATTTGCTGAAATATAAGACAATGCATTACCAGTTACTATAATGATAGTTTGAATGAAATAATGCAAATATTAATTTAAACTATTTTGTTAGTATGAATAAAAGAAGATGTCGTGTATAAGTCAATAAGACAAAAATGCAACATTCTGAATCAAAAGGCATCAAAAGGACAACATACAGTCATTGCGTCTGCTATTTTTAGGATGAGCATCATTTCGCTAATTTAAAATTTCGCTAATTTATTCTTTGAAACACTACTAAAATCACTTCGCTAATTTATACTTTGAAGCACTACTAAAATCATTTCGCTAATTTATACTTTGAAGCACTACTAAAATCATTTCGCTAATTTATTCTTTGAAACACTACTAAAATCATTTCGCTAATTCATTTTTTGAAGCACTACTAAAATCATTTCGCTAATTTATACTTGAAGCACTACCAAAATTATTTCGCTAATTTATTCTTTGAAACACTACTAAAATCATTTCGCTAATTCATTTTTTGAAACACTACTAAAATCATTTCGCTAATTTATTCTTTGAAACACTAATAAAATCATTTCGCTAATTTATACTTTATAGCACTACTAAAATCATTTCGCTAATTTATTCTTTGACACACTACTAAAATCATTTCGCTAATTCATTCTTTGACACACTACTAAAATCATTTCGCTAATTTATACTTGAAGCACTATTAAAATCATTTCACTAATTTATACTTTGAAGCACTACTTAATCATTTCGCTAATTTATACTTGAAGCACTATTAAAATCATTTCGCTAATTTATTCTTTGAAACACTACTAAAATCATTTCGCTAATTTATACTTTAAAGCACTACTAAAATCATTTCGCTAATTTATACTTTGAAGCACTACTAAAATCATTTCGCTAATTTATACTTTGAAGCACTACTAAAATCACTTTGCTAATTTATACTTTGAAGAACTATAAACACATTTTTTTGTGTTTTCAAGATTGAAATTCTGTACAGTTTGTTGTTTGCATTGCATGAGATCTTTTCTTTCTGTACTGTTTATGATGGTCTGCATGAAATCTTTTGTGAATTATAGACTCAAACGTTTATAGTGTAGTACGGCAAGATTTCTTATCAACAGGTTAAGTGCCTTTAGTTTGCTTTACAGTGAATGGTGAAAATGTAACTTCCTTTGTTTTGGCATGTATACTGACCATGCATTGCATCCGTTCTTTATGGTTTCTCCATTGTTGTATCGTTTACGGTTGAATTCACATTGACACTCGTCTGCTTTCACACAAACTCCATCCTGTATGAACTGACCTACTGGACATTCACATCCAGACACACAATCCTCCATACAACTGTCTGGTAACACACTGTAAAGGGTTTTACAGGTTCGGGGACATTTTGACGAACATTCACGATAAACCTTTCCATCCTCACATGTTTTTGCTGAAAGTAAAATAAACCTTTACAATGCGTGTCATTCGTTGATTACAATTGTTACATTAATTTTAAGTTGCTTCATTTAGCAAAAGCCGAGTCTTAAGAAAATAGCCAGTTTCCAGAAAAATCATACATTTATACATTTTCAAAACAACTATTGCAGATCACCTTGCTCATTACCATATGTTGGATATTCATCTATTTTTGTCTTTGAATTCTCAACCATCACAATTTACAGAAATAATCAGAATTTCAGTGTTGAAATCGTTATGTTTTATAGATGATTTTGAATAGAGTGAATACATGACATCTACCAACATACTCGTCACAACACAATCATTGAACGATGTACAAATATTCTTAACATTCTTAATATTTTATTTTATTTTCTAATATCAAAATATAAGAAATCGACATACGACAGAAGTTTGAAGATCTCCAGAAAACAATAACATCCAATGCTGCACAGGACTGTGCAAATCTGCCACTGTATTCACATTTCACTGTATCCGAGTTATTGCCTGCTTTACATACTTCATTTACACATAGATTATAAAGGAAATATGGACTCTCCTGGAAATATAGCATTATAATTAGCATTATTATTAGCATTACTATTGTTATTATTATTATTGTTATTATTATAAAAGTAAATTGATTTTTTGATACAGCAATCGAAATATGTCAATAACATTTCAAGTTTATGTGATGTCACATATTTTAGATTTCGTACAACTTAAAACTTTGAGTGTCAATACTAGTTAACATTTATTCTATGCCTTGATTTTTTTTCATTAAATATACAGCAAATATTAATTGTGTGGTGTATCGTATCTTTGGAGGAGAACAAACTAGGTTTATGTTTTTCATTATTATCATCAACGTCAATCGATATATTTTGCACCTTATTTTCAAGGGAGTATTTTTTTTTGTATTCCTCTAAATTTTAAATACATCAAGCAACTTACCAATTTATGACATTCAGAGAAAATACCAGACAAAATAGTAGAACAAGCTTGTTCAGCATTTTGTTTGTCTTGTGATGTTGTACAGTAATCCTGCATCACACCTGCTCCTGGGCACTGAAAGGAAGTCAATATTTTATTAAGAAAACATAACTCTGGTCTAAATTTTCAAATTTCAATTTTACTTAAAAAATGGTAAATTATATTAATTGAAAAATTAGTACATTAATTCGAATATGTCAGATATTAAAAAAAATAAGTGACTTACTTGTGTTGCCTCATTAGCTACTGTCCATGTGTTAGCAGCATACACAATATTTGGTGCTGGGTCTCCAGTTCTTGTCATTTTATCATCTTTAGAAAAATAAAACAAGTATCTAGTTACAACACTATACTATTGTTTCAGTAATGATATTAATTTGTTGCATGTCATTAGGAAAAAGACCTTTCTGGGGTATTTGTATCTAGGAAATATGGTACTGTGATAAAATAGAAAAAAAAGTATTCTAACATTTTTATCTTTAAAGACTTATTAGATGTTTAATTTTGCAGAATATATATATACTCAAAGTTCTTGTATACTTGATTGTACTTACTTGAAGGATTGTCATCAAAGTCACCACAAATACCAGCAACAGATCCAGCCTGTATTCTACTTTTATCTAATGTGATATATATAGCTGAATATTTATCAACTTTCAGGCTTACTCCAATATGACAGGTTACAAAAGTCCAGTCTCCTTTTTTCATTATTGTTGCAGCTAATTTAAAAAAAATAAGATTTAGTAACAATATGGAGTATTTAAATGTCTAAGAGCTAAACAAAATTTCATAAATAACTAATTCAGTTTTGCTTCTAAAAAAGAAGATTTATATCAGTTTGCTAATGAAACAAGACTTAAATGGGTTTTTTTATATTGAAATTCAATCCCAATTTACTTTGGTCATTGCACAAGATCTTGCCATCCTGCACTGTTCATGAGGTCGATTTATGATGTGTTTTACTCGGGCGTACAACTGCCTATGTGTTAGTGTAGGACAAAATCATGTTTCAGTTCCTGCAAGCATTTTTTGATACAGTATTGTTTACTAATTTTGTATTTATATAATACCTATGTTTCTGTTATCTTAATCGTTGTTTCAAGGAGTAAAGTGCTTATTTCATAGCTATGATTTGGTTTTTATTATACGTTTTCAACTCACATAAGGTCAAAATGGCAGAGGACTGAATGCACACTAAATGTTGACATAGTTGTCCAAAGTTATGAAGTTTTTTGTTGGTGGTGGGTGGTGATGGGGAGTTCTATGGAACTTTGTATTAGGCCAGATATTCAATAGCCTGTTAACATTTATTCACAGCTTTCGTGAGGATAGAGCTAGTCATATTGTTAAGACACTATTGTTAATGATCGCTTTTTTTAGTGTATTGTGTTTCATTTAGTTGATTTTTCATTTATGTATATATCCCTGTCTCATTTTATTTATAAAGTGACCAACAGATGTCAGTTTTCAGCGAACTTTTTTTAAGTGGTTGTCACTGACATTTTACTTTCCCTTTTATTACTAATAGTCAGTGGTACAGTTATTTTAAATATCATATATAAATATCATACTTCTTCCTGGTGTTTCTTTGGGCGTCTCCAAAATCAATGGAAATTCAGCATCGTTAATATACACTAATCCATTTTCTAATGTTATGGTCTCCCCTGATACTTGCAACGTAAATCTCTACAAAAATAAAAAGTAATCAGTATTTGTGTTTCGTACTAATAATGCAAAAAACAGTATTTGCCATAAAAATTGGACTCCAACAACTAACTAGTAATGTAGAAAACACAAAGACAATAAATAATCAATACCACTGGATTATATCTATGTTTGTACAATATTTCCCAAAAAAATTGTTGATACTTTTTCCTGTTAATAAGTAGTTCCCCGGAGTCACAGAACATACTTGTGGGCTTGATATTATTTTTCGTGACTTTTTATGTAGGCAGCGACTATATCAATTGCTCTTATGCTTTAAAAGTTTTCACTTTTGATCTTAATCAAAGTTTTTTCATTAATACAATATCTTCCTCCTACCTTTAGGCAGTCTTCACTTGAGTCACATCTGATAATCTTTGATTGTACATGCCACAGTGGTGTTTGTCCTCCGTTTCCTTTATCCATCGCCAAAGTGTATGTACACAGACCAGGGAATGCAAACTCATACCCATCAAATGTACGGTAGTAAAAAGGTCCAAAGTTAAAACAGGTTCTGAAGTTCGGATTGAACATTTGCTGTATTATTCCTTCAGTTCCTGAATAAGGCAATGGGACATGTTAGTATAAAAAATGACTGTAATATGACACTATCTTAGCTTTAGATATAATTAGTACCTGTTAAATACAACAGTGAAAAGTAACCTTAAAGGTAGAATAGAAGAGCGAAAAAGCTGGATCGTTCCATTAACTTTAATTATTGTGGCCTTGGGTAATCTACTGAAATTGTGTTTTGCTCAAAAATTCCTATGATATTCAATCTTTTAGGCTAGGTTGTTTCAAAACAGAAGAATTGAAAAAAGAAAAAAATCAAGTTATTCCTCCAATTGCTATTTTTTTCGAACGAATGGGGAACTCTAGGAAGTATCTTCTACTGTTATTGCTTTTATCATTGCTTCCAACATTGATTGATATGTTTCAAAGGGTTTCAGGAAGATAAACATGTCTAAATAGCTGGTATCGAATGGTGTCAATAGCTCGCATGACTCTTTTGATAAGTTGGCTCCCAAAAATAAAGATAATAACATAAGACTCGTTTACCGGGCTATATAGAGTATTTCGGAAGTACATTGTTAATTTGGTAAATGTTACTGGCAACATAAACAAAACGATTGTTATATTGTTTAACATACCTCCTTCTGTCTTGATACATTTTGTACAAGTTTCGCTCCCTACACCCCAACTTTGGGCATCTGCTAAAGCACAACAATCAGCTTGTGGAAGACGTATATTTTCTGCACCTTCGGCTTTGACACTGCCACAAGTTTGACCTTTATAACAGTATCGTTCATTGTCGCCGGCATCTGGATGAAAGTAACAAAATAAAGATTAAGAATGTTTTATATTTTTAAAAGTGTTCAAAGAAAATACTTTTCCTTATAAAGTGATTACTTTGATCAATACTTATAGCATAAGATCTTTTTTTTTATCATAAGACCACCAGAACCCTTACTTTTAAAGTGATTATGTTAAAGAAAACGTTTAGCATAGGATCTTTTCATCATAAGACCACCATATCACTTCCTTTTCAAGTGATCATGTTGTTGAAAACTTATAACAAAAAATCTTCATCGTAAGACAAACAGAACACCACATTTTCAAGTGATCATGTTAATGAAAACTTATAGTTTGAAATCTTTTCATCATTTATTTAGACCACCAGAACACTTCAATTATATATGTGCCTTTCCCAAGTCAGGAGCATGTAATGCAGTGCTTGTTGCTGTCTTTCATTTATGTTTTTCGTTATTTGTTGGTTTAAAACTTACATATCTTTTTGTCTTCACACATTATTCCTGTGAACTCAGCCCCACAGTCACACATTTCAGGCTTTGAGCACACACCACCATTTTTGCACGGATTTGTACAAATAGCTGAAATATACGAATATTTACTATAGATGTATTTCAAAATATGTCAAATTTTCATGGCCTTAAAAGATACGAATAGTTCTTATTCTGACAATGACATTTTGATATGTGAGTGATTATTGCATGATAAATTTGGTTACAATTTTACATTTAGAGCTGGGTAACGCATACGCTAAGCGTGTTCAGTTGTTAAAAGGACAAGAATGACAATATTGAAAATTGAAACCAGGAAGGACCATTTCGTTGACTGCTTCTTTTTACAAAAAAAAAACATTCTTATAAAGGTAAAACGATGATTTACGTTTCTTTTTAATCGAACATGAAATTTTAAAAAAGGGCCTAGAAAAATCGTCATTATACGATTGCTCGTGCTTGTCTGTCTGTTTATATCTATGTGTATGTTTAAATCGGTTCATTGAACATCGACAGTCTTCGGGTTAGTTGGATGGCGTTTAGACTTTAAAAAAAACGCACTAAATGCTGATACATCATAATGAGTCCATGCGTTGTTTCTTTTGGACTTTTTGCAATTTTGATACATGTTTAAGTATGTTAACATGAAATACAAGCATTTGAGTCAAATCAGTGAAATGAATTTGACAGCTAATGCCCGTTTAGTAAGATATACATATCTGCCTATGATTAAAACTCTTTACTTACGAGAGTCGCATATGCCTGTTCCATTTTGATATCCGCTACAACACTCAGTCACTTCATATTCCTTATTCCTATAGTGAAGATATCAAAATATCGTGAAAATGAAATCAAATACGTCTAACAAAATGTATGTCGTTCTACAAATGTATGATTATTAGTCACTACGTTAAACAAACAATTCTCTTTAAATCACAATAAATACAACCATATCCTTAGAAGTGATAAACATGCTTTCTTTGTTTGTCAAATCCATACATATCACCATTCGAATTAGTAAATCAAAACACAAATACGTTTTAACAATGCATGACTATAGGTTGTGATAAAGTCTATGTCATCATCTGTCCACTTGTCTGTCCTTTTTAAAGGCTGATTTTTCATCTTCTTTTCTTTCTTTTTTTTCTTTTTTTTTTCCTTCTTTTTTTGTGTGTGTCTTATTGATGTTTACCTCATATTTGATATTTCACATTCGAACATGATTACCAAATGGCAAAAAATTTCTAACTTATTATAAAACAGACAAAAGACGTGTTAACTTCAAATTCTGTTAGACCATGATGTAATATATCTGTCCCAATCAAAACTTATTTGCATTCTAAAGTAAAGTATATCTATTTTCTAACTATGAAACAATTTCATAAACAACAATAAATAAGTAGAATTGAAATTTCGCACAGCCATTCTCTTTTTTCAAATATGCTCTTATGTTTACCACTGCCTCATTTTTTTTCTACAAAACTTATCACATTCAAAGGTAGACATTGGTTATATTTTAACCCTTTAGCATTTGTTTGTGAAAAAAAAACAATTAAGGTTAGATCTGTTTTTGTAAACATTCCAGGTTCTTTTCATAGGTTCTTAATATTTTGTATTGATGGTCCTCGAGTTTATAACATATCAGTGGGTTAAGTGAAAGGCCACTTTCAAATGTTTGTGATTGAGCGTTCCAGATGAAGGTAAAGAAAGCACTTCGGACGCACAAAATTTAAAAAGTGTTATTTTCATTTAAAGAACTAATTTATGTGATATAACTCCATGAAGGATAGGCTTACTCTATGTAATTTCCGAGGTGCTACGGTTATCTTAATACTTACCTAAAGAAATAGCAGATTTTATCTTGATCTGCTGAAGATGACATGATTTTGTTCAAAGCGTTGTTGATATCGTTTGTACTCATCCCAGGAAATGACGAGGTTCTGTTCAGGCTAAAACCTTGTAACGTATTTGAAAGAAATGATGTACACTTTTCCGTCTTTTCTTCTACTGTGTTCTTTGTGTGAGTACATATATGACTAGAATAAATATAAACAAAATATAGCTTTAAGTTTACCTTTTGATACATATAATAAAATACTTATAACATATCTTTTCTGTAATATACATAATACAATATTAGTACACAGTCGTTATATAACAACAATATTAAAAACGCTATTTTTTTAAAGCAGGGATGCAATTTTTGTATAGCTTTGCTTCTTTTATAGAGTACTGTTATTTGTGTACTGACCCGAGTAAAAACTGGAGGATTACGCCTTATTTGCTATTTTTTGTAAGTTATTTAGAACAACACATCCATTAAACATCAATAAAGTCACTACAGAGTAACTCCACTTTATCTATTTCCCTTCAAGTCAATGCGGCTAAACTACAAATTTACGATTTTTGGTATTCCGATATTTTGCTTCGACTAATTAGAAGGGGGAGTGGTCGAAAATTTCCGTTGAATTTACCTTTATGTCTAGCGTTAGGTTTTAAAAAAAGAAGGTTTGTTGGACCTAACGCCAGTTTTCTCAAAATATCTCTCCAACGTTTTTAATAAAGGTTAACATGATTTTTAAAACAACAATACAAGAAATTTTCCTTGATAAACCTCTTTTTTAAAGGGAAGACATGTCATTTTCGATTAATCATTTCTATACGTAAATAATGTGTTTAGTCCTTCAAAGGAATCTCACTTTTAAATAGAAATTAATAGCACAACAGTGAGAATAAATTTCCTTTCTAATACGATTTACAACACCGACGAGAAATTTGTTGACTGCACAAATAATAAAATATGTAAGAACTAATCCGGTAGGATCATAAGAGTTTTAAGCATGTAACAGTTGGAATTTTATTGAACTAATAGAATTTTAAACGTCTAATAGGCCACAACAATCGCATTATTTGATTTCAGTTACTCCCTTGTTCCTACGTCACAATAGAAATGGGAAATGTTTAAACTAAAGCCAAGTTAGAAAATTTCTTTTCGGAAAATGTTTTGAACTGGAATGCAAAGAAGTTGCAGTAATTTGATTAACTGTATCAACGACTGTTTGTGTTGCGAGTGGTTGGTGTTTGACATATTCCAAGAGCGAGTGGTTGGTGTTTGACAAGAGCAGACATAATCAGTCGTTCTGTTTATAGTAATCCATTAATCTCACATCAAAACAGTCTAGTGTTGTTGGTTTTTTTTATAAACGTGGGATTTAGTTGTAGGTAATTTGAATTACTCCATCATTTTCTTTAGGTGCGATAAATTAGTGAAAATGAGAATATGATATCTAATATGTTGTTTTGAAGAACAACACTTATAACTCAGTTGAATGGAAGTAGTTAAATTTAAATGTTTATAATTTGTAAGTCCTGCTATCCATTCTTGATATAACTTATTTATGTAACTCTATTGTCACACATACATTCATTAATATGTATATACATACTGAATCTCATACATGTATAACATATGTGCTCGTTTATTATTTGTGCTACCCTGGCATATCATGTTAAGTTAATTATTTTTAATTTTCTTCAAATTATCTATTAGGTAGTTTTGAAATGAATAATGCTGTACTGTCATTATGTTTATGTCTGTGCATGTTTTTTGTCGTTTTATGATGTCATATAGTGTATCTTATAATGCGGACAGAGCTTCCCTGGGACTACCCTGTTGATCAATCCAATTTAATTGATTCGAATGAAATATCGTTTAAACTAACTCCATCAATTATATTCTGTTTTCGCTTATAAATTTAAAAAAAAACAAAGAGTTTTAAAGGGCAAACAAATGTACTAAAATGATGTAAAAATTAAAATTACAACACGAATAAGGCCTTATAATATTCGTTTAAGATATGACTAAAAGCAGTAAAAAAATCTAGAAATAATGCACCACAACAAACTAAATCAACACACAAAACAGGGAAAATTAAGTTACTAGCAATCAAATTGTTAATAACTGTATCATCGATCATTCTTTACAAAAAGTTCGGAGTAAATTTTTCGAAAATTTTACTTCATCGAAGAGGCAATCTCTTGCTTATTATCTTTCTCTTTTCTTTAATTTCCTTTTCTTAGTTTCGTTTATTTTTAAAAGTATTTGAAAACATCTTCTTTACGTGTTCTTTTTATATTTCATCACTTCCAATGCACTTAACACTACCGTGTTCACTATATATATCCATTTGAACAGCATTGATTCCATCCGACCTAATATTAAAGTTGTCCACATTATTTATTTTCTACTAAGAAATAACTTTTATCATTAAAATGAAAATGAAAACCAAACAAATATAGAAAAAATAACGTGCTGCTTAATTTAAAAAAGAAAGATAAAGTAAAAGACTACTATAATTGATTAGAAACTGGACCGTGGTCAACAGAGTCAAAGATATATCATAAACTGGACCGTGGTCAACAGAATACAAGATTTATCATAAACTGGACCGTGGTATAGGATGAACAGAGTCCATGATATGATATCATAAACTGGACCGTGGTATAAGATTAACTGAGTCCAAGATATGATATCATAAACTGGACCGTGGTATAAGATTAACTGAGTCCAAGATATGATATCATAAACTGGACCGTGGTAAAATGTAATGTCGGCACTTTTTATAGCCTTCTATATACGATATGGGTTTTGAGAACTGATGAAGGCCGTTCCGTGACCTATATTTGAATACATCTATGCCCTTTTGTCTCTGGTGAATAGTTTTCTCAATGCCATGATGCCACATCATATTTTTGCAAGAAAAAATAAGAACGTAATAGAGATGAGATAGCTATAAACTGGCGATTCTTACTGTTGCATAATCAGTAGCTACATGTAAATAGGATTTTAAGAACACGAATTGTGTTTACTCTTTTAAGTGAGTGTAAATCGCTCCTGTTTATTGCAAACATAAGTTCAACAATGTTCACCAATGTAAATACATTAGAATGGACAACTCAGACAAAGGCCCAATGGAGACATAAAATATTGAAATATTATAATAAGTTACTTCCGCGCGTGTCCTAGATTGTAGATAATGTAATATGCTACCCTGAAATATAGAAAATCTTTTCTTTATTTGCATACATATTCCCCTTCTGGGTCTAAATCAGATTAATTAGACTCGTGTTTTCTATTCTGATTATACTCCTCTATCAATAATAGTATTATATTTCCATCACCCTATGTGAAGATTAAAAGAAATAAAAGTTGAGGATTACCTGAAAAGTTCCTTTATCCCAGTTAATTGGACGATTTTTTTGTCAATAGAATTCAATAAAGAGTAAAGCATTCCACATATCTAATTATTACAGCATGTTACAGTATGTACTATTACATCATCTTATAAAATCAATCAGGAAACTTGTATGGTTAGGTTTAAACTGCAAAAACTCATAAATTGGTACAAGGATGAAAATATCACGAGTAAAATTCTCCATTACATGTATTATAAAGTAAATATTGTTTAATTAGTTTAGGATTCTGTTATATGAGCAATATTTTTAAGTTTTTTTTTTTTGTTTGTTTATTTGCTTTATCAGCCTTTCTGTAAATGTCTTTCGATTCAGTCTCATATCTATTGATTCATATCTATTGATGTAAATATTTTTTAACGGTTGTGTCGATAAATACGTGTATTTGTTGTCTGTTCTTATTATATTTTTATGAATTCTTTGTTTATATTTGACATTGAATAAAAAAGTTAAACAATTGCATTAAATTCAATAAATTGCTTGAAGTCTTTATGAGTCATTAATAGTGATTTGCGGAGCGAAAGGCCGTTTGAAAGTTTGAAGTGAGTCATTATGTCTTTTCCAAGTTTATACTAAAATTTCGAATTTCGCAGATTAAAAACCCCGGGCCCCTTTTTTCCGATAAAATACACATGTACTCCAAAAGAAAAGGGTTCTGTCATCAAAGTAAGCAAATTTCGTTGTAAAAAGTAGAATCTCAAATCTGTCATGTGTGTACGTTACATGAATGCTAGATGCTTTCGCCGCTTTTTATTTACAGCTTTTGATATGCCTGAATGTTAACTGCATTTGTACTTCCGGTTTTATCTATTTTTTCTTTGTATTTTATTTAGTTTTTTATATATCTATTCCTCTTGTGTTTTCTTTTTTCAGTTTAATGTATCTATTGTAATTGTTTTGTCATATTTCTAAGGCTAAAATTTTAACTAAGATATTTGATACCATTTGTAAATTGATTATATTGCTTGCACGTTCTATTGTTTTAATGTCATATCTTTTTCATATTCCGACAAAAGCACAATGGAGCTTGTCTTTTTTTTTTTTTTTTTCCTTTTTTGTATACATTTCGAATCAAAATACATTTTTCTTACATTATCTTATCTTAGAGTTTTACAAACTATAATTAAAACTATTTCAATGCATGCTTTCATCATTTTCATAATTTAGAAGTCGCATTGTTTTATATTGAAAAGTTTTTAAAGTAAAATCAAAATGTCAACAAAGGTCATTTATTTCATTGGGTTAGCACATTTTATACTAGATGGAAAAGGCGTCTTTTCTTTTATTCTAATGTTTTAAAGGGGGGTATATTAATAACAAATAAAATAATAATATACAAATGTTTTAGAAGATTGAATGAATTAAATTGATTTGTGAGATATAGTCTTTGAACATTTTATAAATCCATATGGACGTATGGTGGTGTCCTTTATGTAGATTAACTAATTTTACTGAAGCGGGTTATATATATAGTGATCTTTTCGTTCTTTCGCCTGTCCTTTTGTCCGCGCTTTGTGTCTAGAGTTTCAATGAAACTTTCGAAGAATCTTTAGTATCTCAGACATTGCACAATTCCTATTGCTTTTATTATTCCAATGATTTTGAGGTTAATCATGGCAAGACCTTAGCCTTATCAGAATTTTTATTTTTGGTTTATTTATCTGTTGAATGCTTTGAGTATTCACGACCTTTTTCCTCTTTGTAATCATATTGACAGATATTCATTATTGTGTTTGAACTTTTGATTTTGCCAATTGTTAAGGGACTTTCCGTTTTGAATTTTCCCTGGAGTTCGGTATTTTTGTTATTTTACTTTTTGTTTACTTATCTGCGCGACTCTTTTTTTAATTACCGATATATATATAATCCCGGCGAGGGAAAAACAAAAATTTGCTTCCGCAAATTTGCAGATTTAACATTGTTGTGCTGATATTTAGAGTAATTATATATATATATATGTATTTACAACAGAGACTGCGTAGATATGTATCCAAAATGAATAGTACTGTGCGATTTGAACTTGCATTATTCTAAAATTTTAATGTTGACGAAGGTTAAGTAACATAAACAGAGACTGTGTAAATAGTCACCCGAAATTTATAGCATTGCGCGATTTGAACCCGTATAATTCTATTAAAAACTTCAAAGTTGACGCAGGTTAAGTATTTACAACAGAGACTGCTAACTTATGCATCCAAAATGAATAGCTCTGTGCGATTTGAACCTGTATAATTCTAAAATTTCAAAATTGACGCAAAATAAGTAATTACAACTGAGACTGTGTAGATATGCACCCAAAATGAATCGCATTGCACGATTTGAACCTGTGTAATTCTAAATATTCTAAATTATATATACATATCTATACTAACTGTACTGTTTTATTATGAAGTTGTATGACCGTTCTTATCGTACGAACATGTGCTTCTCTCTGCAACTTCCTACCAGTTATAAGTGTTACTGTCTAAGCATGCACTAAACGTAGTGTTTTGGTTTTTTTTACATGTATTGTGCTGTCAGTAGTATATATAGTTTTTTGTGGGGTGAGGGAAGTTCCTTTTGATTTTTGTATAATATGCATTATATATATATTTGTATGCAGGTTTAAATACTTAGTGGGTTTTTTTTCTGAAAGCTTATTTAATATAATTCTATTACGATTTTGATCAGATTGTTGTAGACTAACAGCTAGTAACTGGTAGTAATACTAGTTTTTTTTTCTTTTGTTTGATCCACCCAGCAAAGTCGGTTTTTTTTTTATTTTCCACTTTTGACTTTTCTATTCACACGATCTGGTATAAAGTCGAATGAGTCGAAACGAAAATAAAAAATAAGACGTAACTTAAAATGGTAGCGTGAAACCAAATAAGACTAGATATAAATAAAGACCAAACGACTTTAAAAACTAAATAATGTCAACCATTTGACTAGTTTAGTCATTTGAAACCATATCATAAAAATAAATGATTTTTTCCCAGTATTACATTAAAGTATCGTTCTATAGTTTATTATTGAATATGCATTAAAATATGATACTTGAAGTTCATATAATAACTATTAATTATAATATTTATCAAAATTAATCAATGTTTATAGTCACCATACATAACTTATGTACACAAATGTCAAATACAATTTTTATTTTTGAAACTTCATATATATGAAATGAGTTTCCTAAAATTTTACAATAAATTTGGTTTAGGTATTATCACCAATGTGAAAACGTAACAAAGCTTATGTGAAATCACCATATAAAACTCATCACAACATTTGTATTTTCATGAGTAACATGACGGGTGCTTCGTGTGGAGCAAAATCGGAATACCTCATACCACGCCTGCGTTTTGGGGTTTGTGTTGCTCAGTCCAGTTGTAATGGTGGTGTCGGTTTTCTTCGAGTTATGATTTTTAATTGTCCTTTCGGTATTTTATAACTCTTTTTTCAAAGATATGTAGCTTTGAATGTTTTTAGATTACTTTGCATTATATTGTCTAGGGAAAGTAATTAATCCACTAAAATAATGATTTTGGAAATAAGTAATTTTTTCTAAAGACATAAATAGATAACTATAGAAAAATATATTTCTCAAAAAAACAATCCAATATAACTGGATGAAATTCATGTATTTAGTACATATCGGATAAAAAAAAATGTATTCAGTACATAACGGATAAAATAAATGTTTTCATTACTTAACGGATAGAATAAATGTTTTCATGACATAACGGATAAAATAAATGTTTTCATTACACAACGCATAAAATAAAAGTTTTCCATGTATAACAAATAAAATAAATATATTCACTGCATAACTGATAAAATAGATGTTTGCTGTTCATAACGGATAAAATAAATGTTTCAGAATTCACAAGTGAATTGTGAATATATAAATTTAGTTCGGTTGTCTTGGATTTTCAAAACTTGTGTCACTAGCTTTATATTTTGTCAAAATTTGGTAAAACTAGAAAATAAACCTTGTCATATAACCATCTTTCAGTGAAATGTGACTTTCAGCATTTTAAAAATTGTTTAAAGATGGCATTGCCAAACAAATGATCCTATTTTATAACTGCTACTTTTTAGATACTTTGCAAAATTTATACATAAAAGTAAATATTTAGAACCATTTGTTATAATGACTGTAAAAGCAATTAAAACAAACACACAATATAATGTGATTTATATTTAGGGCACAATTTTCCAAAATTAAAATTGTATTCACAAATTCACTAACCTTGACTGTGCCGAGGTCCATTGTAACGTTCCAGTTGTTAATATCCATAGTATCACAATGAAGTAGGTCGGTAAGGACCCGGCCATTTTTGGTCCCATAATGGGTTTAGGAAAAACGTAAGTCTTTGTAAGAACTTCCAATTTGTAAATGTTTTTAGATATGTCCGTATACACTAATTACAATGTAGAAGTTCTCAATTCTCTCTCTGTTCTCTTGAGGGACCGACTGTCCTCTGAGGCGTTGAGTCAAGATTTGCTTTTTATACCAGATGTATTTACGTAAGCATTTTCCATTATCTATTTTGCATTCTAGTAACTGCGATGATTCTTTACAAATCGATCTGATCGAATAGACCCAACATCTGGTCCAGCTCCGATTGGTTAACAGTCATTATTCAGACGGGAATCGATTGGTGATAGACAATCTTATTATATTCATACGCTCTTTTTAATGTTGGTCAGGAGCTGTCAATAAAACAGTTATAAATTTTCACAAAACCTTAACAACATATGTTGTTTACTGGGCTTTAAGAAGATTGTATAGTTTTCAGAAATGAGAGATTATTTTTCATATTGTAATATAGAAATGAAATATTTGTTTCTTTTGTTCATACAAAAAAGCTGTGTAGTGCCCATTTTGTAACGAATGTAAAACGACTCTACATACAAGAAATATTATTTTCCCCTATTTAGACTAGTGCTAGTTTACACAGAGATGGCAAACCTAGTTAAACATAATATTTCTTATGCTTAATCTATTAGCGAAAAAGTCAAATCTTAATGCTATAGCTAAAAGCATTAAATCATACGTGATGGCTAAATGGTTATTGTCTATTCATAAGCATAATGCAGTAGTGCAGTAGTGCAGTGGTGTCGAATCTCAAAATGGAATCCATTTACTGGTGGTGCTGGTATCTTGTTATATAGTGCCATATAAAATAAGGAGATGTGGTATGATTGCCAGTGAGACAACTATACAACAGAGATCAAATGACATGGATTTAATCAATTACAGGTCACAACAGTACAGGCTTCAATAAGCAGTTGAAATACTGTAGTTTTAGCAATTACAGGTCACAGTACATGTTTCAATAAGCAGTTGAAATACTGTAGTTTTAGCAATTACAGGTCACAGTACAGGCTTCAATAAGCAGATGAAATACTGTAGTTTTAGCAATTACAGGTCACAGTACAAGCTTCAATAAGCAGATGAAATACTGTAGTTTTAGCAATTACAGGTCACAGTACAGCATTCAATAAGCAGATGAAATACTGTAGTTTTAGCAATTACAGGTCACAGTACAGCATTCAATAAGCAGATGAAATACTGTAGTTTTAGCAGTTACAGGTCACAGTACAGCCTTCAATAATTATACTGTAGTTTTAGCTAAATCATAAGAAGCCAAACGTAAGCAAATGATCCGATTTTTGAAAGGTAGATTTTGTTGGATTCAGATGAATGGAAGTTTGTATGCCTTGCCCTTTGTATGATTATACAAGAGTTTATATATTTTTAGGGGAGGTCTTTTTCAGGTCAAGTTTATCTTTTTGATATAACTTTATAAGGTTTGTTTTTGTTCAGTTTTCATTTTCTAAGCTTATGTGGTTCAACATTAAGTATTGACTCAATATTCATGGTTTATTTTTACACCTATTATAGTTGTCAAGCATCGAATCACAAAATTGAACCCTTCGTTTGTAAATAGTTATACAGTACTTGTATATAAACTAAATAATGATAAGCCAAACCGAAGTTAATGGTCCAATATTTTTGTAAGATTAAAGTTGAAGATTGTGTGATTGATCGTTATTATCATGATGTATATTACTAAACAAAGTTGTTCTTCTGTGGATCATTTTCTTTAAATAAAACGACCTTATAAAAAAGTGTGAAAGTCTATGGATGATGATACAAAGAGCAACAGTTGTGATAATGTTTACCTTACAAAGTGCAAAAAAGGTCATTTTTGATCTTACCGTGCAGGTACCATGATTTTGTCGTTTTGGTCAAAACATACCATGATACTTTAATCCCCTCCGCATGTGTAGTGTATATCCTAACCCATGCATTAGAAGGTTTATTTGTCACCATATTGTGTTGTACTTTTCGTTAGTGTATGTTATGATTATTGTAGTTTATATTCCTTTTGACTATCAAAGGTGCTTAAATGTATATTTTTGGTTAATCGAAACCGAAAACCCTACAGTAGCACGCTATTTTTGTAAATGAAAAATCGGTTTTGTCATCACAACTTTCCGTTTATAAACCGTTTTATGTCCGTCTTCTCTTATTAGTCCAATATGATAATATGTCTGACAATAAGTGAAAATAATGAGGCTTCCATTGTATTGAAGTTCAAGAAGCACATTGCATTCTTCCGAAAATGCCTGTACCAAGTCAGGAATATGGCTGTTGTTTTTCACTTGTTCCGTTGATTGATCGCGTTTGAATTTGTATGTTTTTATGGACTTCCCCTTTTTGAATTTGCCTTGGAGTTCAGTATTTTTGTTATACTGTTTTGCATATGTTACATATACATGTATATGTTACAGTGAATTTGTATACATAATCCCTGATTTTTCAGGGATTTTGCATAATCACAAAAATCATTAGTGATTATATATAATCCCTGAAAATGACCAGTGATTTTACATAATCACTGAAAATTTTAAGAATTATTCTACAAATTCCCTGAAATGATTTCAATAGTACAAAGATTCGCTGTTTTGGTAAAAATATATCAAATACAGACAAATAAATCATATGTATAACATCTTTATGGTTGAAGTGGACAGTTTCCATTCCCTGTTCAGTTAACAAATCTTATTAAAGTGAACAGTTTTGCTGGTGACATTCTTTTCAACTGTGTTAAACCACATTAACTCATAAACAAAAAAGAATTTAAAATTAAATTAATAATACCAACATAAATGCACAGATCATATAATTTGCTGTGAAACAAAGGGGATGAAAGTTAACAAACATGGAATTAAAACTAAGCAACAAAATGCAACAAAACGTCCAGAAACACAAACAGAATACATGCTTGATAGATTGAACAGAATTTTGGAGGGGCTGTAATACCGATTCCGCATGTTGATCGTGGAAAGGGAGACCCCAAAAATATAATAGCCATTCTTCATAAAAGGGCTGAAAAGGACGAAGCATGAAATTATGTTCAGATAATATACAAGGAATCAATTTGAGGTATTTGATTGACCTTTTGAGTACCTTCAGATGTTTCTAATGAACACTTTATTTTTCTTCAAGTGCAGTAAAATCAAATTCAATATGTGAAGGCTGAGGGTTTTTTAAGGGATTGTTTTTGTTGCAAAAAAAAAACCGAAAAGCAGAGCAAATGTTCAATAGTAGAGGGTCTGGATGGGGTTTACAGAATAGATAATAATGTATAACCAGTGCAAAATAAAGGGCTAAAAAGATGTAGAATAAACAAAAATAGACAAAAAAATAAGAATAGAGAATAATGGACAAAGTAAATAAAGAATAAGGAAAAATTATCTAAAAAATTAAAGAACGAAGAAATGAGGGTCCCCCAATCCAGACACTTTTCGTAGATATCATCCAAATTTACAATGTAGTTTGTAAAAATAAATGATTTGTGTTAGAATATTGTGCTTAAGATTTTAATATTTATGTTTCTTAAGGTGTTTAAATATGATTTTGTAGAATAAATTATTTTACTTTTATTCATTCTCTCTTCATTCCATTTATTTATTATGTTTAATCCCTGACATTTTTTCTAGTGATTATGCACAATTCCTGAACATTTTAGTAATTATATATAATCACTTAAGTTACCAGTGATTATACAAACTCACTGTAACATATATTATATTGTGTAATAGATCAAACTTATTCGTTCTGTGTACATTTACTTGTTTTTGTGTATTGTCTTTTTGATCGAGTTGAGCCATTTCAACTGATATTTTATATCTTTTTATGGTGTAATGTTATACCACTGTTTCAGGTTAGGGTGCAGGTTGGCGCCTGTTAAAACGTTTAAACCAGCTGCATTAGTATGCACCTGTTCTAAGTCAGGAGCCTGTTGTTCAGTGGTTGTCGTTTGTTGTTGTGGTTCATAAGTATTTCTCGTTTCTCGTTTTTTATATAGATTAGACTGTTGGTTTTCCTGTTTGAATTGATTTACACTTAGTCTTTTTGGTGCCCTTTATAACTTTCTGTTCGGTGTGAGCCAATGCTCCGTGTTGAAGGCCGTTCTTTGACCTATAATTGTTTACTTTTTACACATTGTGAATTGGATGGATAGTTGTCTCATTGGCACTCATACCACATCTTCTTATTTATATATACATTAATTTTTTGGGGCCCTTTATAGCTTGCTGTTCAGTGTGAGCCAATGCTCCGTGTTGAAGGCCGTACCTTGACCTATAATGGTTTACTTTTATAAATTGTAACTTGGATGGAGAGTTGTCTCATTGGCACTCATACCACATCTTCCTATATCTATATGTATCTAACATCTATCCTACAGATACCGTCGACACAAGATCTCGAACCATAGTTTTGGAAAGCCCGACAAAGCAAGTGAACTTTTGGATCATGAAGATAAAAACATGTATCTAGACAAAATACCAACTGGTAGGTAAAACGAGATTATAAAATATCATGACAATTATGAGTATTTAAGACTCACAGACAGATACCATAAACATACTAATATATACAACAGGCCAGAGTCTGGGCTTGTTTTGCTATATGATATAAAAATAAGTTTGACGAAAAAAGGTCATTTATTCAAAATCATAAAATGCAGAAAAATACAATTTGCAAATAAAACATTTGACATAAAAGTTCATAATTAATGTGCAATTATAATACATAATTGATACGTAATTACATCAACTAAAATCATATCAATTGAATAAATGACAAAGAATAGCAAAGGTGGGGGGATCTGCCACAAATACACTCTTAAATTAAGAGTGGATCCCCCACCCGAGGACTCTGGCGACGTAAATACAATCTATATATCGAATTATATAAATAAAAAATTAAAAAAAACAAATACAAATTGCAGTTAAAGACCAGGCAATTCTGACATCCATAACATGTTTTCAAAACAAAAACATACATACAGTTAAATTGGGCCATAAAATTGAACAAAAACAATTAATATAATAGTAGCCTTTCTTATTTTTACATTGACAGACTAAAATAATGCATGAAGACATCAGAAGGGCAGGGTATAGCTGACCCCGTCAATACACCTCTATAATAA